GGTCGAAAGTCTTAGAAAGTCAGTCACCCAAAGAGAAGAGAAAGAAGATGAAGTAAAACAAACAACGGAACTGGATATGACGATTGAGATGAATATAATGTCTAGGTGCATTGACGCCACTAAGAAAGTTTCTTCACTGTACCACCAAAAGAAAAGTCTGAGCAACTTAATTATTAATTTCTATCATATAACACTAGAAACCTAAACCTTCACTAATCAAATCATAAAACAGTGTCAGCTATATGACAGGAATAAAAATCACAACCAATCACTTGAAAGAAGATTAAAAGTTAACAATAGAAATAATTTTAAAAAAAATGCAAAGTTGAATAATTATTCAAGATTACAACTGCATTCGTCGAGACCATGAACATATTTCTTAAACAGACACACACATATACATAGAAACACAAAAGCCAACATTATAAATCTTTGTGTACAAGTCAATCAACGACTGGGCTCAAAGAAATGTGGGATTCCAAGGAAATTTATGCAGCAAAAGACTTCCATTTATTCACAGGAAAAAGTAAGACCACGGCTGAAGCAAAGATAATTATTGTTTCGATGAGGCTATTTCATATGGCTGTACATTCATACAATGCAAAGAACAGAACTTTGACATTTAAATTCCAAACCAGCGACTTCATGTCAGCAGGATAGTAAAGGGAAGAGATTGTATAAAGTAAAGCATAGAATCGAAATGAGATCAGTAAGCAAGTGCACGCTAAAGCGGTAGTCACATCTATTGTGTGAGGGATAATGATACTAACTGACTTTCCGCACATCTAAAGGTGGATCGCAGTTCAAAGCTGTAACCCACTGGCTAAGAGTCAACTGCCTAAACCAATGAGCCACACCTATCTACTGAACTGGAAATACGATAAAGTTCGATGATGAATCAAGATGATAATTCTTTAATATAAATCTAGAAAATAAAATGAATCCGAAACGTTATCCAATAGCGTGATACATCCAATATATAAACTAGTGTGGAATTAAAATTTACGGTAGTGCTCAATTTTTACTCTTACATTAATGAAGCAAGATATTTTGACAAGAGGATTTTTCAAAAAGATAGGAATGTAAAATCTCATGGTCATGGAGAAGGTGACTGTCCATAATTCATTTGAATGCATTACTATGGCTTGGATAGGAAACTGTCGCTTCAGATGCGTACAGATGTATTATCCTAACTCATATTAAACGATTTGATCGACGTTTAAATATTGCTTCAAGAGAAGCAAAAGTTATTTTCATATGATTCTAGAGGTAACTTTCTTTTCTTCGTAAGTAAATCAATTCAGAGTGCGAACATGTTTCGCAATGCATGGTGCAATCAATTTAATTAGCCATGAAGAAGAAATTAAACTTTTGCTAAGTTTACGGAAGACGGCGTCACATATGGACTCAAGGTTCGCCAACAAGATCTTTTGAAAAGCTAAATGATACAGCGAAATTCCTCCAGATGGACTACTCTAAAATATGTACATTACTTTTCTTACCCAATAAGTTTACTCTGTTTCTAGCCAAACTGTCTATCCTTCACTTTATTTGAAAGAAGAATGATCGAATTCAATAAACGAAACGATGACAATCAACCCATTAACTATTTGGTGTATACGAAGTGCTTTTTACATGCCAATCAGCAACCCTATGAATATTCGTAAATAAGCTGTGAAGGCTGATAATACATAACGGCATTAACCTCGATAGATGGAGTAAGGCTAGAACTCGTGACATACTAGCTGAAAATCGAGTGCTCAAGTAAGTGAGATAGAATTCCATCCAGTATAACATCTCATAGTAGCTCTAAAAGCAGTTGAAGTATCAAAACGATGGACAGGGTACATAAAATATCGTTGACACTCTGGGATTCCAACAGTAATCATAGAAGTAATTGAACACAGTGACTCTAATATCAGGGAAATATTAGGTGCACTATTGTATATATATATATATATATATATATATATATATATATATATATATATATATATATATATATATATATATATATATACTTTCATTCACGACTGACAGTCATATTGTGATCGAAGCTGATCCCCTAAACATATACGTACATCCTATTAAGTGTTGCTTTCCCCATCATATCTTAGCAGTGAAATGTAAATAGTATGTATCACTACAGGGTTTTAGAAATACGGTGGCGATGATGATGATATCAACAAACATAACAAAATCTCAAAAAATATGCTATTTGCGCTACACTTTATGCCTAGGTTAGACAAATAATTCACAACATAAATCCTCACATCATAAGATAGGCTTACAAACTGTTAACTATTTTCAAAAGAATATTATCACTTCTGTAAGTACTCTCTATGTTGTCAATACAATGAAATGAGTAAATTACTCCAAAACTGACCAGGCTCACAAGAAAGGATCATCGAGAAAAAAATACACCGACCCTTAATCAAAAAATGCTTTACTATACCAATATGCTATTACGTAATTCATGGGACTACGATTCACAGAATACACATTCAGTGTTAATTAGAAACGTATGATTATGATGGATTTCGTTTTAAACAAGAATCATCTGAGGATGAGTAGACATTATAGTGATCGATAATGTCATTAGCTGTAGGTCTGAACCACAGAGGGAGGTGTAGGCTGCCTAGCTGGGGTCTTCAAGATACTAATGATGAATGATTGGAAACTAGGTAATATGGAGTACAGTCCGTCGTTATGGCGGAGATGCATTTATGAAAGTTTTATACATTTTATTACTAGATATTTTCATTTTCTCTGAATTCTTTTGTTTATCTAGTGGATTCCTTCATGATTGATTCGATTATCTGCATATAGCTCTCTTCCTTTTTAAATTTCTCTTCGATACGTCGCTGTAAATTAAAGCAACTTGAACTCAGAGGCGATCACTAAAATGTTAGATCTCGGGTGTCAATCAGCAGGAGGTCTTGGGTCTAGATTTTTTGCATACTGGTACTCAGTAGCAAGGCATATCTACGACTATACGTAAACTAGTGTCCTGTTGGTGATTAGAATCAAAGTCACTCACATTGCAAACCTGATCAACTGACTTTGGTCAGTGTTGAGTACTGAAGATTAAAGCGCTATACCGGTAACTGACTAATGACCGATTAGTATATAATCATTCCAGGTCACATGTTGTCGACTTATATCTATCTGTCTGATAACTAATCAGTCGCAAATAACCTAACCATCTGAGAAATCGATTCCAGAACCCATGTCATTTGCAAGAAGACTTTCAACAAGGTGAACTTAGTTTGTATGGCACATACTTTGATCAGTTAATCCAAGTCAAAGGACAGACAAAACTACCTATAAACTATTACCGTATTTGTTAGGTGCAAACTGTTTGAAACAAATGACAAAAAGTGCAATGTAGTTCAATCACAAGTATCTAAATGGGTTAATAGACAGTAGAAAGTTAATGTTCCGTTACATGGTGCTGATTAAACTTTATGCATCATGAAATGCACTATAGTTCATTAAGCTGACTAGTACTGCACCCCGACCAACTAAACTTTTAATGTTACATATTTATAGGTAACTTTGAATTGTCCAAAGTCATACATCTCAAGCTTTTAAATACATGGCACTCAAGATTGTTATCGTATGTCACAGGAAGACTTTCAGGATAGCAACTAAACTCATAAGGAAAAATAAACAACCGGTACCAGATTTTCTTCAACGCTGACAAAGGTATGTGTGCATGTGTGCGGTGAGCACACAAAGTGGTTAAGTCCATCCATTCATCATCCAGATCAAACTAGGACCAGGCATTACTGTGTAACGGTCCGAGTCGCCACAGCTCATATCAGTAAAAAGGCAGTGAGGCGCAAGATGAAGATAAGAAAATTCAGTCAAAAGAAATATGAAGTACCGTTAAGTAGTTCAACATTATACTGGATGACATCCATGAAAAGATATCTGACAGCTTAGGTTACTCAATATTAACACGCCTAATAACTGAGCTTCTAGGTACAAAGAACAATACAACCTTGCACAAAGTTATTTTCCTAAGGATATAATCATTATAACATTTACCAGTTCTCAACATCAATCAAAGACTATCCACTGGTCGATCTATCAAACACCAGTAAATTAACTACTTATTTAGGAAAGAGAATGCAGAACATAGAAAAAAAGTTAGTAAATTAAACTGTCACAAGAGTTTTAATGACCAGGAAACCAGAAAAAGCATACGCTAAAAGTGGAAACTTTACTTCTATAAATTATTTTTTTTGCATAATCGACAAAAAGGAATAGCCTACACATATATTCATCATGAAAAGTAACCTACACAAATACTAGACACTGAATAATTGTGAAAAAGATGATGAATTCTGCTTAGCAAAGACACACACAGAAAGATGCACGCATATAGGAATAAGCATACACGCGAAATGATAAAAATGTTAATGTCTCAGTGCTTCTGTATGGTTCAGAGACTTGGTGCGTTACAAAAAGCATTTCCAACAAACTACAGATATTCATCAACAACTGCCTACGCTGACTCCTTACTGAAGATCAGATGGCCAGAATAATAAGAATAAGCAACAAGGAACTTTGGCTGGCTGTCAACGAACCAACCAAGAACCTATCGCCTAACAAATATGCACTGGAAAGAAGTGGAGATGGATTGGGCATACACTGAGAAGACCATTCGGGGACATCACGTGCCAGGCCAGACCTTCGAGTGGAACCCAGATGGGAAACTGTGAGTTGGGCGTCCCAGCTGAGGGTGACATGGAGGAGATTGTGTGAGGAATAAATGAGAGCTTGTGGGCAGTCGTGGAGCCAGGTTCAAAAGATTGCAGAGAACAGAGTGGAATGGAGACGTGCTACTGAAGCCCGGTGTTCCACTGGGAACCCAAGGGACGAGTAATAATAATAATAATGTCTCAGGCATCAAAAATTACAAAATGAAAAGACAAACAAACATAGGCAACAGTGTATACGATTAAGTAGCGATTGTAGTATTAACAACTCACTTTGGACGAAAACTGGCTTTAATCAGTCGACCTGGGTCTACTTGCATTTGTTCCATTTGCATAACTTGTTCGCGTAGTGTACCAGCTGTGACACGTTTAGCCCTTAAAAGAGTAATCAAAAAACATTGAAGATAGTTGTGTTACAGAAAAAGCTAATCACAAACGCAAACGATTTTAAAGTTGATTTTCACATTTGCTTACATACTAGGTTATGAGCCAAACCTTTACGTTAGAACCTGTGCTACTACCTGATTGTCTAGGTTGAAGTGGATGGAGCACAGTTTGAACATAGGACCAATTACTTGAAAGTCGAACGATTAGGCCAATAAGCCATAGCTCAGAGGTGTGTACAAAAAGAGGACATCTACAGGTCCTTATACATTAGTTTTAATCTCGTACACAGTCAGGACAAGAGATCACACAAGAAGCATAGAATAATCAATTTCTAGAGTGAAATAAAAGGTCGTAGTGAAATTAAATCATACACAACATAAGCTAAAAGCAAAAACAATCATGCCGAAAATGTATTGGACTCACATTTTCCAAGCGACATCACGTGTAAGTGCAAATGTAGGAATCAGCAGAAGACCAAACCAAAAGACACCACATCCATAAACAGCAGAATCCTGTTGTCATTGATTTTTTTAAATGAAATATAGTGGAAAAGAAAAAGGAAGAACACCAATAAACAAATTTAGTGTACATAAATAAGAAGTGGCATTGGTAAAATGAAGCTTTGTTACGCAAAATTCTCTTCAATAGTTTTTCATACTGATCATTGGGATTTTGAATAAACTAATTGACTCTAATAAAATATACAGAAGCAGTGCACTACATACTTTTTCAGTATGTAGTAAAACTACTCACAAATGAATGACTTAACATGAAAACAAATTTAGATAGTGTTTTGCATGTTTTTGTCATAAGGTCATGATGGTTTCAGATAAAACTGGCGAAATGGAAACATGTGGCTGGAGAGGATATCCAAGACCAATGAGGTATAAAATATCACAATTTGATTCCAAATAAAATTGCACACACAGACTGCAAGCTTTGAAGAGGGAGAGGAATGTACGTTTGAATGTGATTCTGTGGTAACTACAGAAAACTTTCTGCTAACGGTCAGAAGTCTTTGGCGTAAGGGTCAAATGATGATGGTCATCCTAATATGGAAACCGAATGAAAGCATTTTTCTGCAAGCCCAAAAGTCTCAGCGATAGATCAACTTTAAATCTGTTAATAAATCTTAAATGGTAAAATTTTTCAGATAATTTTTCTGTTAGTCACTTTGTCTCAGAGTGAAGTATAAAAATTCGATGAATTTGGTTGAAAAAGTATTTAGCTTGTGCTTGGTTCGATCCAACCATTTTGAGTTTCTAATGATCGTGAGATTTAACTGAATTGTTCAGAAATTAAGCGTGTCGCTTAACCTTGCCACCTTTTATATTCGCATATTGTTTAACACAATCCTTTTTGTGACCAAAATGTATCAAAAATACCTTGAGCAATAATAGGAGATGGATGTGCAGAATTTGTGATGACAAACTTTCTCAATAGCATGTTAATAACCATCATTCAACCTCTACAATCTTGCACAATCATACTCTTCTAGTGATAAATAGCCTGTGAATTTGTGGTCTATGTCATTTACTTCACAATCCGTGGATTACGGGTTCGAATCTCATGTCATCTATCGAGGATCGGGCAGTTGCGTAGGATCACAAGCCTTTAACGCAACAGATGTGGTTCACTGCCCACTTGATGAGCACGAACGTGATTGTTGAGTTACGATTCTTTTTTCTCATTTCAATGGACAACCCTAGACAATATATTCATTTATAAACTACATACAGAAGGAAGTAAATTATATATTTAAATCGTCGCAAACACAGGGTAAGTCCCACTAACCAAGTGGTCCAGTCAAAGCTTTGAAACATTTCAGAAGATTTTTGGTATGATACAAGAGGCCTCATATCATCTGAAGATCATTGTTCAAGCTGTGGAATAACTGCTGGTGACACTTACCGTCCTTTAAAAGATTTCATCTTCATTTGTCTATTAAATGTCACAGTGAAACAGTAACATTCTACTGGATAGAGGTTCCGAGTGTACTTCATTGTCCATCTAATCAACAAACTAAAATAGAATCATGATCTACCACAGTACTCAAGTTTTAATTCTATATTGTTTTATGGTCATTTTCAGTGAAATAGTACTTGCCATATGGTTCATTGAAGTCCTTCTATTCCCTCTTCATTAAAATTCCCTACTTATAATTGGAATTAGGTTTTTCTATAATATTCCTATCCATAATACTCAATGCTGAGTACAACACTTTTATCAATGGGTATCTATCTCAGGGATTATTTTATTGAATTATCAGTCCACGAAAACACAGAGATATCTAGTTACAAAGGGCACTTGATTTGTAGACACTGATTTATGAATAGGAAAGAAATTGTCACCTGTCGGAGATAAACCATACAATAAAGATGCTTACTTACCATACCGACCATATCTGAACCCAATGGTAGAGATGGATAAAAATGAGGGTAGATAATAAGAAACAGGAACCAACAACCAATACTGCACCAAATCGCCAAATGAGATAACCATGTCCACGCAGTGTGCTCCAAACCAGCCTTTAGACAGACTGTAATAACCACATACTATGACAAAAAAGAAAAGGAGAAAAATTAGAGGCAAAAATGAACTCCATAACAAACGCAGAAAAATTGTATCGATGACAGTTTAGACGAAAGGATGTTTTGTTCTTTAACACGTAACAGAAACTGGGTGTTGCTAGCAGACGTGAACCAGTTACCTATTATTTTGCTCTACAAACTGTGTTGAGAAATAATCTCATATTTGATACCGATTGCCGGAAACATTACTTAAAACTGATGCGAATGCGAGATTTATGTGTCCAAGGGGCTACAACCAAACAGTGACCTATTTACGAACAGTTAACGAAAACAATATATTACTTGGATTCAGTAGTCAGTAAGTCAATATTAACATAGGAACCAGAAATTACTACATTACAACTGAAATTGCCACAATTCAGACCAGTACATAAAGAAAGAAGACATCACGATAAACGAGAAAAATAAGGAAGAAAGTGACCAAAAGGAGTAGAAAGTCGTGAATCCAGAACAAAAAGGATTGAGATAATAATGAGACTCCGTATAACGATTAAGGTGGAGATGATATGTGGATACATCTGCGCCACTGACGTCGATTCAGACTCGTATGACTGACTTCTTCTGTTAGATGGACCGCAACTGGGAAGTCTACACTTACTAACACGACTTAAACCAACAGCGAATTAGGTAGATGTTCAGACTTCAAGAATAGAATATGGTAGCTATAAGGTTGCTACTGCGAACAGATATAAGAATAAATTGCGCCCAGAGACTACCATAAAACCACACTAAGACACACTTTCATCAAAATCATTTATTAGTTGGCGAATCATTGATTAAAGCCACGAAGAATGCTTCCAGAATAAAAAAAGATGGTTGGAGTAGGGGTAGTTATAGTTTCGATGAATTCGGTTTTAGAGCCATACACTTGTGAATATATAATCTATAGGATATAAAGTTCGAGAAAAATTCTCGGTCAAACGCTAAATAGAATTTTTTAAAAACAGGAAAATCAGAGTAGAAAGAGAGTGAGAGAGTATTACATATCATGAAGAACAGTCCAGAAAACCTCAGAAGATTGGAGAATGAGAGTAAAAGGGATTTAACGCACTCTCTATGATTTTCAATCTATCTTTAATATCATAGTTAAATTTATTTTTGTATAATTGAAATGCACAGCACCACAAATTTGAATTTAAAAACAGGTGCAGACATGCATATAAACAAAAAATATCGAAACACTCACTGTGTATACACTATTACCAAGAACCAACAAACTTGAAGTCTGACCATTTCCATAAACAGAATCTGGAGGAAATTTTAAAAGGTACGAAAGAATGGACATGGCATTAACAATAAATTGGATGAGGCATGCATATAGAACAAAAACAAAATGCACAGTTAGATAAAATCACACGTTTATAAATTTTGGAATATTGAATAACTAAGTGGTTATACACATGGTAATTAAGCAAACTTAGGAAAACACAGATAAAGTAAACTCAATGAACACACTACAGTGTACACAAACACATTGAAGGGAATCTGCAGAAAGTATAACAGCCAATTTTGCCACTTTTCATTATCATGTCGCCAAAATTTATAATATACTCTTCTTTTCTGTTCGAAGAATGTCATCAATGAGACTCTTTGAGCAGTCATGGTTTGGAAGACTGGTACCATTGATATAACTTGAGGTAAAATGAAAACCTGGGCCGTGGCTGGACTACAACCAACGATGTCCCAGTTACAGGCTCGGTGCAACCTTTTTGTGTTATAACTGCGATGTACAGCTGCATCTCATTGGCTTAGAGAGATATGACTATCAACCAATAGGTCACGAGTTCAAACGCCGTTCCACCTACCAAGATATGGGCATCCAGGTAGTATCACAGGCTCTCACGCAATATGTGTGGCTCATCACCAAGTGCAAGGATGTACACAAGGTGGAGTGCGTTTCGTTCGTATAACAGGGATTGAAATTAGTAAAAGGAAGTTGTTGGTTCTGGGCTATCAAGTTAGGTTATGTGTGAGACGACAATTAAATCATGAAGTTTACCATACAGTGGTCATCTAGACAAGATGATTGGTTGAACAAACCACTAAAGTTTGATAAAGTGAATAAAAATCCCTCCAACCGTAAGTAACTTTCATCGAATCGCTTTAAATGGCTCTAACGATAAAAATCTATGAACTACCATCTGAAGACAGGTAAATTGAAAACCCAAATCATTGGATTTACTTTAATTTCATCTTCTGCGTAACATATAATAAACTAAAGAGGTACAGCAAAATAAAAGCCATCGTTATCACTAAAACTATGACAACTACAGAGGTTTCAGTGGTCGTTCCATTAATCTCTTCAAGAATATGCTACACTGATGAAGACTTTCAAAGATGCATCCAAGATTTGTTCTAACGACACTGAATTAGCTCAAGCACAAATACATTTAAGTTAAATGATTTAGACTAAAAACCTAATCGTTCACCACCCATGCAACATAATTTCATTGGAATGCATTCTACTGATGGCATGAAGTCATTACACTAGACATCTACAATCACAATAATTGTTAGTGAATATTAATAATCGATATCAAGCGAATGACTGAGAACTTCCGATGAGCTCAACGATTAGCAAAATTAGTTATTCATACAAACAAACTTTCAGATCTGGTTTTAAAACCATGTGAGTTTATTAGCCTATTAATGGGATACAACTACACTTCTGGTTATGAAATGCTTACTTCAATGAAATTATTTAGTATCGAAAATTCCAAGCGTAAAAAATTCGTAGAGAACAAACAAGAAGTAAAACATGCTAAACAATAGTCTTACTAACCACATGCAGCTTCTTCAACTGGGCGGTGAGCCCCTTCTATTGTGTATGAACGCTGATGATACTTTCTGGTCACCTAGGAGACGTCATTGGGTGTGGTGGAGTTCGAACCTGTGACCCATTAGTCAACGAGTCATAGTTCTATCAAAAACTAACTATTATTATTACTATTATTCTAGACTTTTTCTTACCTGTAGAAAAAGCAGCTAACGGAATCCAGAACAGAAGTGCTGAGTGATAAATTGAATTGATAATCCAACATGAAAAAACCTAAAGGATTTTTTTAAATAAAAAAAACGAATGAAATTATTTCTAGTCAAATATACTGATAAACAATTCCGTAATCTTTTGAAAGCAAACTCAATATAGCATACAGTAACGAATGAATCCAATCAGAAAATTGCTGATTCACTGACAATTTCTTCCTTAACATCTGCGTGAAAGTTGAAGAAAAACTACATAGTGATAGCCGCTATATTCAAATTACGATCATATTAAGCCACGTAATGGCTAGGTTCTCTGGTGTTTCGCACAACAAAGTTATAAAATGAAAATACATAGATTTCATTTCATGATCTTATACATCACCAACTGACCATCTAAAGTCTTCTCAGCCCGTTCGAACCCTAGTATGGAAGCCATTATACTTGAATACCCAAAACTAAATAAATTGAAACAAATATACTATCTGGATTTAGCATTACCAACATGGGTTTCGAAAGGGTTTCAGTAACACGATGGGAATAGTTGCATAGCACAGACAGCAAATTCCAAAATGCAGAATACCATAAACAAAGAAAATGTGCAGTAAGCAGAACATGTCACAAAAGTATACATTATGTATCAGTATTATATGCATAAGTATACAGAAAAACAACAATTCCAAGCAAAAAAATACATCAGTGTTAAAATGCAAGCTTACTTTTGGATTAAATGAAACCGATGCTTGTGTATCTCTGTACAATTCGGGATACTTCAGACAGTTATTAACACTACAACTCCTATCGAATAATCCTAGTGCCATTGGAGGGGCTGCAGTAAAAATCTAAACATCAACAGAGAAAGGAAAAAGTACAGGTACCCAGGGGGAACCGAGAAATTCAGCTCAACGACAATTTGCAGAATAGTAAAATAAACGACAAATGTACTATGCGACTCGTCAGGTTAAAGCGGATGGAATAGGGTTTAAATCCATGATCCACCGATTGGAAGTTGACTACTTAGACCAATGACCTACTGGATTGAAGAGAAACATACTAGATAAATTGTAAACAAAAATCATTTCCAAGATAGTTTAACGATTTTTCAACTGTATAATAAACTGTATAGTGCATGTTGAAGCTTGTCAACAGACTGCGATCCATATGACTAATTGTGGAACCTGAAAATTTCAATCATATAGATTTTAACACCTATCTGTTCCAGTTGAAATTGTTTAAATGTCCAGGGGAAAAGTCAGAAATAAGGTTTGTTATTCCAATAAGAAATGAAGTCTAAAAAATAAATGGACATTTATGAACACTAGCTGTCAATATTAATACTGAGGGGATTAGAACTACATTTGTCAGACTTCCATAACAATAAGTTACCAGAGGATTGAAGTTTTAGAAATATTTTCTCTGGCGATGGAGAATATTTGAAGCTCAGGAGGATGATTTTGACGGCGCTGTCATTTCTGACATGGATGGTTTAATCGTGAAGCTTTCACTGCCATTCTACACAACATCATCAGCTCAAAATACAGAAACAAATGAGCTATAGGATTTTCCATATAAGTGGTTTAGTAGCTTATCCTTATGATCTTGGGTGTGATTGGTTGGCTCTGCTAAAATCGTATCATTTTCTCCATACGTATTTCCATCGGCTTCGCCGTCGAGTGACCTGAATATCAAGCTTCTAAACATTATCTGACATCCTTTGTAATTCCTCTATCCAGAATTTCCACATTTTTCCAGTCGAATTCATGTCCACAATTGTCTGTATCTATTATTATGAGCGAAGATATATCATGAAGCTTCATTGCTAGTTGATGTTCATGTAGACAGAGGGCGGCCACTCTGTCCGACATGGTGTTTTTTGCCGTCTTTTTGTAGATAACATTTGCCTTGCATCCTTTGCCATTGTATCTTTTGGTCTGCATAACAGCAAGTGAAAAGATGTGTAGGTTTGTAAGGTACAGTGATTCTGAAAGGCCTCAGTAATCAAGCTGCGATCTAGGATACGTTCTTCATGTAAGGTAAGATGACCCGTTTGTTGGTTTCCAAGGGTCACTATTTTGGTTGATGGCAAGTCATGATGAACTTGCATGGATAGCTATTCTTCTGGATAAAAGTTAGTAAATGTTTTCCTTCTTTTCTCCGCAAGGTTATTGTACTTCAGTGTTTTTTCGCTCTTTTAAACAGGGCTTTCACGCGACTGATTTTGTGAGTTATTGGAATGTTGTTGTTGTAGTTAAGGAGTTGATTCGTATGGATTTGCTTTCTGCGTACTTCATTTTCCGGTTGCCCCGAATTCGTTCTAGTGATCGGAACAACCAAAATGCAAGTTTCCTACTTCATTCGATGGCAACGAAAACGTTGTTGATTAATTTCTAAGTATTTCTGATTCGTTTCTTTTAATGACGATAAACGTGCTACCATCGACGGCGAAGCCACGTCGAAGGAAACCTGCATCACCGTGTTAGGAAGGAAGAAGAAACAAGACAAGGAATACATCTCGACTGACACATGGAAGCTGATAGAGCAGGGAGAGGATGATGGTGATGGTGAAGCAGAAGATGAACCAGTGCAGTGCAGTTCAGTACAGTGCACAGCAGGCATGAACAACAAAAAGAGGAACTGAACACAACCTATAAAAAACTCTACAATGGACAAACAAGTGAAGAAGAGTGTGCACAAGGACTAAAGACACTTACTTCTACGACACACACTTGCAAGTGAAGCAGAACAGGCTGCAGGATTGACAAAGACCTGATAACATTATATCAAATAACCAGGTTACCATCTGGGAAGAAAGAGATCAATGCAGATGAAACCAATGAAAGATAGTGAAGTGCAGAAACAAAGATAACGATGCGATGATCAATTCAAAAAACTCTCGAATCAACCACCAACAACAACAACTACAACTATAACTCATCCAGAAATACAACCAGCAGCCCAGCCACGGAACTACCAGTGAACACAAGACATCCTACAAAAGCAGAAGTCCTGAAAGCCATTAAGTTGCTCAGAGCCGGGAAAGCTGCAGGACCCGATGGAATTCCTCCAGAAGCACTGAAAACAGACACACAGACAACAGCCAACATGCTCACGCCACTATTGCAGAAGGTTTGCAAGCAAAAAAAAGGGTACCTGAAGATTGGAAGGAGGACTACCTTGTCAAACTACCAAAGAAGGGAGACCTAAGCCTTTGCAATAACTGGCGAGGAATCGGGCTCCCCTCCTGGTCACACCAAGCAAAATATTAGGCCACATCATCCCAAAGAGACCACAAAATGCTCTCCATTCAAAATTACCACCGTAACAGGCTGGCTGGCTGGCTTCAGCAAAAACAAATCATAAGCGGATCCAATTGCAACACTACACTACACATCATCATACAACAGAGCATGAATCCCACTCAACTGGATCTCTACCTCAAATTCATCGATTTTCAAAAGCCCTTCCAAAGCGTCGGCCGACAAGTAATTTGGCAGGCAGCTCCTTCAACGATACGGTTCTAACTCCACAAACCCTCAAAAACCTAATTCAACACCTATATACTATGTCATGCTACATGCCAAGTGATTCACAATGGAAAGCTCACCTCACTGATACCTTCCAAGTAAAAACAGGAAGGAGTAAGACTAGGTTGCTGCCTACTATCACCCATCATCTTCCTCATTGTGATCAACTGGATCATGCAACAGACAGCTGTGAGCAGCGACAAGAGGGGCATACGCTCTTTGACCGATGAAAACACCCCAGAAGAAGATTTGGATTCCACCACCGATAATGATTTATGTCTAATGTCTTGTACCATAAACTCGAAGATCTACAGGCGACAACTAACAAGTCGACAGAAGAGGAAGGGCAGCGAAGACAAGACTTCTTTCACGTGAACGTGAGAAGATACCCAACCAACAACAGCATCAACAACAAGCACCAATCACCACCAATGGGAGAAACTCAAAGGAAGTAGTCTCTTTCACCCACCTAGGCAGGCAGCATCGTTTCAACTATTGGCGGTGGCACAGATGACGACGTCAAAACAAACCAGGATCGGAAAGACAGCAAGACACGCCTCCCTTCATTAATCCGAAATCAGTGTGGACATCTACTGCACTGCACTCAGCATAGAGAACAAGATCCAGATTTTCAACACCAATGTCAAGTCAGTGCCTCCATGTGATGGTTCAGAAACTCGGCGCGTTACGAAAAGCGTTTCAAATGAACTACAAACATACATCAACAGCTGCCTACGTTCGATACTAAAGATCAGATGGCCAGAATGATAAGAATAAGTAACAAGGAACTCCGGCTGGCTGGAAACGAACCAACAAATATGCAGAAGTGGGTGGAGCTGGATTGGATTGGACATACAGTGGGAACGGCGTTTGTGGACATCACGCGACAGGAAGGACCTTCGAGTAGAACCCGAAAGGGAAACGACTAGTTGAGCGTCCAAGGGTGACATAGAGGAGATTGTGTGAGGAAGAAATGAAAGCTTCCGGGCAGTTGTAGAGCCAGGTTCAAAAGACTGTTAGAGAACAGAGCGAAATGGCGACGGGCTACTGAAGCCCTATGTTCCACTAGGGACCCAGGAGACAAATAATAATAATAACATTCCCCCAAAAGGAAATGAAAGTGATCACTTACCACATTGTACAAACCAATGCTCCAGCGTTCAAATATAATTTGACCAGAAAATCCGCTCAGTATAGCGAACCAAAATTGTATTAAATAAAGACAGACATTTTTATAAAAAGAATAGAGAATAAGCTTGGTCAGCCGATTATAATTCCATGCACCGTGTACTAATAATAATTTATTCAAGAAACGAAATTGAGCGATCGCATAGTCTGATGCACAAGCTGCTTGTCTGCCCTCCATACCACTGATCCCAATCCCAACATGAGCTGCCTATTGACAACAGAAGGAAGAAAAAAGACTAGAGGATTCAAAAATGATGAGCAACTATACACTATCATGCACCTATTGATTCCATGTTGAAACTATCCGTGGATAGACCTGTTTAAGCAAAATAAGATTTTGATAGACAATAGACGATATTAAATAAGAATAGCTTGTTGAGCTTTCTGATTACTTATGGTTCACATCACTGAATCTACTACTATTGGCCTGTGAACTGATAGTACACACGTCTCACAGATGAGAGGCAAACACCGGATTTCACCAGCGTATCAGTGTATTATACGATGTGTCTTTCGTCCTTTCTAACACTAATTGGCTGAATATGTCAATAGTTCGGCGAGTATTGATGTTTTCAGTGAGACTCGAAGCTGTTACCCATAGTTTCGAGGGTTACAATGTTATCCACTGGATTCTTCAGTCACATGTCTGATAAAAGCAGTGTCATTACTAGTGAAGGTGAGTAGCGTACTTCATCAACTTAGTGGGAAACGTAATGAACGCCATGTTTTAAAGTTTCAGTGGGGATACACATACGTATTTTGTAGGGCCAGCTGGTACGCCCCAGACAAGATGCGAATAAGCATCCTTAATTCTGCTGCCAATAACAACCAAATAAACAATACTGCGAAATTTTACTTCATTAGACTCATCTTTCGATGACTGATTATAAAATTGAAATAGACTAATAGTCTAATAATAGGAAAATTCACTTATCTATAGAGTAAGTCAACTTCATAGATAGTGTACAACAATAATTTTAAAAGTGATATAGAGAGTAAGAAATATTGACAGTTTATAATATACCTAACAAAATACATAGGAAATCAAAACTATAGGATTTTGTTGTTTCAATTTATAGTTTCTAAGTAAATGTAATAAATTTACATTGTAAAGGGAATTTATAAGCTACAATTTTAAAATGGCAATTTCTTGAATTTTATTAAACATGAAGTCAGTTTCAGTATAAAAAAACAACAACCTATTAACTGTTGACAGAGTTAAAAGCAAGCAAGGAGCGAGAATTGAACGGCCACCCAGTACAATACTTTAACTGGAGGATTGAATCCTGTACTTGCAATCAATTTCATTAGTGTTCATGTCACTTGAGCAATTCGGCTGCATCTCATAACAAACTGCTCGGGTGAATATTTTGTTCCGCAGTTCAACACTCATAAATATTGGTAAACGCTAAAAAATCTGCTTCTAATGATGCCTTATCAACTAATAATGAACATGCGAAATAAAACTTCACTATCATGATGAGATCACAACTGAGAAGAATATGGACAGATAACAACAGTGGCATCACATCACAAGTATATTCTTGGAATAGATTTACATAGTACTAATGGGGACACACTAATCTGAACACAAAACACAAAATTATAGTCTATAGAAAGAAATTCTGTTTTCAAAAACATACAGATGTTCATCCTAGAGATTTGAATGTTTATGTGTCAATCATTAATGGGGAATGTTGGGAAATCATTGAATTTTTCAACATCAAGGTTTATGCGAATTTTGTTGATTTTCTTGTTTAACAACAAGATCTACAAAAAATCGATGGCCATTAGTGACTGAAGTCAAAATAGCTTACTCTATGTATAAATAGTGATTTGTGAGAAAAATAACATTAAAAGTAAGGTCTATGCATACCAACGACGTAAGATAGTAGCATTTTAATATGGTCAATTGATACAAGTTGAAAAATATGAACTATCTAATTCCAAATAAATGGCTAATTAGTAAGGTGTTCACTATCAGATATGACTTTTATAGTGAACATAACTAATAAATGTACAAAAAGAAGACAAAATTGCTCATGTTTGAAAAAATATAGAGATTCATTTAAAGATGAACCACTGTTCAGTTGCCCTGACAATCGACTCTTAAAAATAAGGATCACAGATCAAATTCCACTCTACTAACTTTGACTTTTAGAAGATCATGTAGTAATAATCAGCATTTAAACCCAGAATAAAAGAATTCAAAGACTATTATACACGAGTGTATAAGCTACTGTTGATTTAAGATGTTTAGTTTTGGATTAAAATTTCATTGTGGAAAAAAATCTTTGATAATCAGTTCAGTGCTGATTCACTTTCTGAGTCGCTTTATTTTCTTGGGAACTGGTATCAAAGAGAAAGAACCATTTGACAAACCAAGAAGAATAGAAAAGTTATTTTATCCTACAGATCTAAAATCAGCATGCATCAGAAGTGCTCAGAATAAGAACAAAACATGTCAATTACTCTTCTGGTTTTCAGTATTTCAATGACGCTAATAACTAGCAAATAGAACTTACTTGTATCATTCCAACATCATTAGCTCCATCTCCTATTGCTAATGTGACTGCATCTTTTATAGATTCCCGAACTAACTTCACTAACTGAGCTTTTTGCCAAGGACTAACTCTGGAAATAAAGTAGCAAACAAATAAATTAGGGTCAGACTATTAAAAAGAGGAACCATTGCTGTCAATATGATTAGATGAGTTAGTAAAAGCACACTGAGAAGTCCACTTCAAAAAAAAAAAAAAAAACAACTATCGCAATGTAGAATTGCATTATACTGGCTAGCATAATTGTTTTTCACGGTTTGATTCAGAAACAAATTGTCTAGATTTTGAAATTTTGTTAAGCAAGTCAACCAAACCTATTGTCAATTTATCGGTAAGACTTTAAGATTGAAAACGTAGAATCGGCGTCCACCATAAAAGAAAGTACCTCATTTAGTGCAATGTGACGCAGTGGCTCATTAATTTAGGGAGATGACTTTCAACTGTTGGGTTACGGGTTTGAGTCCTGTTCCGCCTACCGAAGTTTGGGCAGCCAGGTCGTATCACTAGACTTCACACAGTAGGGTGTGATTCTGCCTACTACACGAATGTTTACTGGGCTGGTAAATTCATTTCGACTTTTTTCGTTTTCAATTGTCACTTTTTGTCTTCTAAATCGACTAAAACGTTTTTACACAGAGTTATTTCGTCCAGGTAGATAACAGTTGACTCAACAATAGTTCATAATATATTTCTGACAAGTTTTTATTTATTTTTATTTCAGTTACACTAGCCAATTGTTCTGTAAACAGACTGTGAGATAATGGACACCTATTTTAAAAGAGATGCATCCGCATAGTAGGCTTCATACGTTTTGGAATTATGCACATGATAGATACACTGATAAGTATTTTGACTTTAATATGGAGTAATGGTTTGTGATACTAAGAACCCGACAGGCATCTAGTAGACAACAACGTCAAAACCTATTCCAGCTGTAGATGTTCAGACATTCAGATGGCGTCATAAGGTGTAGACAAAGGTGTCATTTAAAGACCAGGGCAGCAATCTACGCAAACTTGAGTAAAAATTTACGAACACACTATCACCTATTAGCGTAAATTGAAAGCATTAGAGATACGTTACAGAGTCCCCGGGAGCTTGACACAAGACCATTAAACAGAAAAGTGAAAAAAAATTATTCAGATTTATGAATGAGTTGGTTGAATGCGACAGATAAGAAGATAATTATCCACATTTCAAGCTTGCTGGTAAGACATCTAGGAAGCTGATGCATTGGCAAAGACGTGATTTTAGATAGCAAACGTTTCAATGTCACGTCAAGAATATAAGTGCAAAACGTGAGAACTATGGTAAAATTAAATTCCATATTGGTTCCATATTAGTTTATATCTTTGATATAAAGCGTACAGTGATACAGTATTATTAACCTGATGACGTTTCGAGCATAAATCATTGCTCATAATCATATCAATGTAATTACACTACTCTCACCTCTTATTCCTTACTTATATTGGTAGCAAAATTTTCCATACCTCTAGTATAGGTGTTGCGTCATTTCTTTTACAAGTATTCGGTGTTGATTCGATGAACAAACATTCACAAATTAATCTCTCCCTCCACCTAATTATATTCGACTTAAGTACAGTGGCTTCATCCCATCCATCTTATTGTGTGGTTGTGTGTTAATGAATGCATAGCAATACCCAAGCTACTTCACACACTATTGATCTTATGGAGGTCTGTCATTCTGTATTCAGCTCAATTTCTATGTTCCACTTATCTAACTGACCCCAACCGGCTCGTTTGACCTATGTACTTGACCTCGCAATCATTACATGTAATTTGATAGACTGGATTATTTTGTTTGGTTGTTTCTGTCGGATCCGTAAGCCGACAAAGCTCATCTCTGAGTGAGTTTGTAGGTTTCAATTTTCAGCTTTGTTGATGATCCTACGTAAAGTTTCTGGTCTACCTTACTTATAGGGTAACACAATAGAGGCTGTGAGCTCATTTCAACTCGTGTTGTCGTTATCATTCGTACTTGTGTTACTTTTATTATTTCGTTTATGTGTTCGTACGAATTTTTTAGTAAACTATGGAGGACTATTGAAAACTGGAGAGAGTGGGGATTCCTCAACAGTGCAGACCCACAACTTCGAGAGAGATTGAGTCTCGTAGCGATCATATTGCCATTCAGTCAGTGGGTTGGAAATCTGATGGTCCACATTTTCCTTCTTCTATCAATTTGCGATATAGCGTGACTATAATCCAATGCCATCGATGGGTATTTGGCTTTACATACAAATTGGTGGACCCACAAACCATAGCTTCTCATTGGTACTTAAAGAAACCCATCTCAAAGCATATCATTAATAGGCACTAATTGAATCAACAGTTCGTAGTGGATTGACTGATTTTAAGATGGTATTCATTACGGACTGATATCAGTCGGGTAACAACTGGGAACTTGACAGCATGAGACAGATGTTTTGTTTTAGCCTGAGAAATTATAATCTGTAGCCAACTCATGTGGATATGAGAATGGATACACGATTATGGGTATTGGATGATAGTTGCACTGTTTCGATAAAGTAGAAAAATATGAACCACTAGATTTTAACCTAGAGGTTGTATGGCAACGTGGTCGCCACAAGACCAGAGAATTCATGCCCAACGAGCTATGCTGGTGGAACACTTGTTCCCTCGAGGTCCTACCATACCAGAAAGGTCTGTTGGGTAGTGGTTAGACGAAAAGCAGTTACCGTTTAGTATAAATTGCTACACTATGATGGGGGTCTGAGGGCGAAGTCGTACTGCTGCTAGCTGGATGGGGTGTGACAGCAGTAAGGTGTTTCCCTTGGATGACCAGCAGTGCCATGCTGATGCTGCCTTCTCAGTGGAAGGGGGAGGGGCTCCACCACGCCCCACGGTCTGCCGGGCCGGCGGTGTTGGTTCACTTGTCGTTTCCTTTCGACCATCCGGCCCCAAAAATACAAAAGTTCAAAATAATCATACTCAAAAGGCTGGGTGTGACAGGCCTCAAGCAGATGTCCGATGGGCTCTGCGGTCACACAAATCTCTTTCAGGTACCTTAAGAAGAAATAGCCTTCCACGGTGTGGGCAGCCGGGAAGTGTCAACCGCCCTCACAACTCTGACCCAAGTTTCTTCTGACTGCTATCCTCCTCCTCCATCATTACCTTCTAATCTTCCTTCACGTCTCTTAATTAATGATGCTGCATCATCTTCAATTTCTCCTACCTCTGCAGCCTTCGACAACGATCTGAGTCCACAGAACAGCATCCCTGGTCTCCTTAAACCACGCTCCAAATTACATATTGGAGCCTTCAATGTCCGCACCCTCCGTCAAATTGGCCAACAGGCTTCGTTGGCAAAGACTCTAGCAACTCGGGCATGGATGTGTGCTGTGTTTGTGAGACACGCATACAGGACCCAAGTGTGGTTATTCACCTGACCTCTCCTGACCAATCTGGTGAATCTGCAAAATTCACCCTTCGAGTTTCTGGAGATTCGATAGCTAGCTCTCGTGGTCTTGCAGGTGTAGGTATAGCATTAAGCACCAGGGCAGAAAACTCACTACTAGACTGGATCCCAGTTGATAGTCGCCTCTGCGCTATGAGGCTGAACGGCACAGTGAGAACTAAAAGGAATAGTGAGACTCGCCGTTGTCTCTTTGTAATCTCTGCTTACGCACCCACTGACTGTAGTTCGGATGAAGTGAAGGACGAGTTCTACCATAAACTGTCTAACCTCCTCTCGAAAGCCAAACGTTCGGACGTAGTGGTTGTTGCAGGTGACCTCAACGCACAGGTGGGTAGACTGAGTGAGGCAGAAAGGCACTTAGGTGGCACTTTCGGAATCCCAGCTGAACGTACAGATAACGGTGATCGCCTATTACAACTATGCTCAGATAACCGCCTATTTTTAGCCAGCACAAATTTCAGACATAAAGAAAGGCACTGTCTGACCTGGCGTCCACCGAGCTCGACTCAGCGATGGACACAGATAGACCACATTGCTATTAGTCATCGCTGGAGAGGATCGGTGGAAGACTGCCGCTCCTTCTGGAGTACGTGTTTGGACAGCGATCATGCGTTGGTCCGAGCACGTATATGCCTGCGTCTCAATGGACGTAGAAAAAATTTGGCAACAAAACCACTACGAGTTCTGCTGGACAACGAAAACACCAAAGCCGTGTTCAGTGAGAAGTTGGCTAGGCAGTTATCGGAACAAAAGACTGTCACTCATCCAGAAGAAGCTTGGTGCCATCTTCAGTCTACTGTAAAAGCAGCACTGGAGACTGTAGCCGACTCCAAGATAATGGCTAAAAAGAGCCAGTGGATATCAGCAGCTTCTTCCAAACTAATGGATGCACGTGAATGCATCCCTGCAGGCTCTGAGTACAATGAAGAGCGAGCGCAACTTAAAAATAACTGACGAAAAGTCTGCGCAACGATCGTGAACAGTGGTGGGCAGCAAAGGCTAAAGAGATGGAAAAGGCAGCGGCGATCGGTAACAGTAGACAGTTATTTAGACTTATTAAGGAGACTGGGGGGAAATGGTCAACAACAGTTAGTGAGGTTATAGCGGAGAAGGACGGATCGGCGATTCACTCGCAGGGAAGGCGACTGGGACGATGGGCAGAACACTTTGAGGAACAGTTTAACTGGCCTCCAGCCACCATTGCGCTGCCCGCTATCCAGTCGGACCCTGAATGGGACATAGAGACAGGTCCCCCAACACTAGAAGAAGTTGAGAAAGCGGTAGGTAGCCTGAAACGGGGAAGGGCAGCAGGACCAGACGGACTACCTGCTGAGGTATACAAGAATGGTGGTAGAGTTCTCTTAGTCAGGCTAACGGAAGTGTTAGCCAGTATATGGGAATCAAATACGATCCCCTCCGACTGGTCTAAGTCACTCATCATCCCAGTCTTCAAGAAAGGCGAGAAGTCCTCTTGTGATAACCACAGAGGAATCAGCCTGACAAACATAGTGTCTAAGATCCTAAGTTCTATAATTCTCCGACGCCTGAGTGGAGCTCGGGAACAGCAAGCCCGAGAAAACCAGGCAGGCTTTAGACCTGGCCGTGGATGTATCGACCAAATATTCACACTGCGCCAGGTCCTGGAACATAGGCATGCTTACAGACGCCCGACAATAGCTGTATTTCTCGACCTGAAGGCGGCATTTGACTCCGTTGATCGAGAAGTCTTATGGCAGTGTCTGTCACTGAAAGGCGTGCCTAGTAAGTACATCACCTTATTGAAAGCTCTCTACTCGAACACTTGTGGGCATGTTAGAGCCTATGGTGAGTTGTCCAGGGAGCTATACTCATCAAGTGGTGTCCGTCAAGGATGCCCACTATCCCCATTCTTATTTAATTTTATCATAGATATTCTTATGGAGGTTTCCCTCTCGTCACCTAATTACAAAGACGTTGACCGGATCACAGGTGAATTTTCCTTAGATCTAGAATATGCAGATGACATAGTCCTGTTAGGTGAAGACGCTGACAAGATGCAGAGTCTTCTGAACACTTTGAGTGGGAATTTGAGAATGTTTGGGATGCGATTTTCACCACCCAAATGCAAATTTTTGCTCCAGGACTGGTCTTCAGCGGTACCGCGGTTAACAATAGAGAGTGAAGTGGTTGAGTGTGTTGACCACTTCACTTACCTGGGAAGTAGGATCAACCGGTGGGTTAGTTGCCGATGAGATTTCTGCACGGATACAAAAGGCTCGATTGGCTTTTGCCAATTTGCGCCACCTATGGCGCCGCCGTGATATTCGTTTGTCTATTAAGGGTCGCGTGTACTGCACAGCAGTCCGCTCTGTTCTACTGTATGGCTGTGAAACATGGCCATTGAAAGTGGAAGACATGAGAAGGTTACAGGTGTTTGACCACCGTTGCCTTCGTAGTATAGGACGTATTCCGTGGTGTCACCATGTGAGTAATGCAGAAGTTAGGTGTAGAGTTTTAGGGAGAAGAGGTAAGTCAGTCGACGAGGTTGTGAACCTTCATCGACTGAGATGGTTGGGACACGTACTACGTATGCCTAGTCACCGATTGCCTCGTCACACAATGTTGGCTGAGGTGGGTTCAGGCTGGAAAAAGGCCCGAGGTGGCCAGACTAAAACATGGCACCAATGTATGAAGTCTCTGACTGTTGGTTTAAGCCATGTAGGACGATGCAGACTAGGTGGTTGGGGTCCACGGGACAAGAGGAACCAGTGGTTGGAGACCCTAGGTGATATGGCTCAGAACCGAAGTCAGTGGCGCAGATGTATACACACATTATCCTCATCTTAACAACGCTATACCGAATCTCACTATTTTGTCACTCCTCTTTCCTTTCTTCTCGTACTTTATATTTCTTTTGACTGCATTCACTTATCTTCATCCTTCACCTCACTACCTTTTTACTTGATGTGCTGATATGAGGTGTGGCAACTCGGACCGTTACGCAGTAATGCCTGGTCCTATGTTGATAATGATGATGATGATGGAGAATTCCTGGGTTCGATCACTCGTGGGGTCATGGATGAGTGCTCCTTAGGAGTTTAGTGTTGTGATGAAACAGTAACAAGTTCCTCATGTTTTCAATAGTTCTACAGCTAATGTCAAGTTCTGGTGAATACTACTCTGAAATGCACGTTGCTTCTAAGTTAACCTTCAATGAGTAAATCGACATGTCTATAGAGTATGTGTAAATCAATGACTTTAAAGGCAACTCTATAAACTGGTGGCGTAACCAATTATGGTTCTTTATTCTATCAAAAACTAACTGCTGAGGCTTGATTCTTTGTCTCAGAAGTCGCTAAGGGGGCTTTTAAAGTCATTTGTAAAAAAGACACATTAGTCATTAGTAGTTTAGTTTGTGTATTTTTGCAAAGATTGATGTGTATAGGTTAAGGTCAGTTGAATTACAGTGTAGATCATCATATATGACAATTGTGTGTATGCCATTTTTCTTATACACACAACGTGATTATCTTTGTGATGAATGGGGATTTTTAATTTAGAAGTAGTATTCATCATGGACTGACATCAGTTGGGGAACCATTGGAAATCTGGGAGCATTGGACAGCTGTTTCGTCTTAGTATGGGACTCCTCATGATGAATACTACTTCTAAAATAAAAATCCCCATTCATCTCAAAAATACATTACTCTATAGTGCTCATTAGTGACTTGCTTCCAGATGGATCTTAGGAAGTTCTAATGAGAGGCCGTCACCTGTGGGGTCAACCAGTCGGAAGTGAAGTGGATGCTAACTGAACACCTTGGGTGACAGTCGCGCTGTGTCGTGAATTGACAGAAGTTGGAGATTGTGAACCACTGGAAACCGACACAGTGGCTGAATGCTTAAAGCGTTGGCCGTGAAACCTGAATGTGACTACCTGTAGAATCCACCAAAACAAAATTAAATGTAGGTTTTACAAATCAGATACGATTTAACTATTAAGATGCATACGGAAATGATAGTTCATATTAATAGGCTTTATAGACCATGTTTAGGAAATGAGTTAATTGTCTAATTCCTCAATTATCAGTAGGTTTAATTTATGCGAACGTTTCACTTACTAGAGTCAAACAGTATGATTGCATTCCATAAGAAAAGAAACACCCCGTGACAAAGAAATCAATACTTGAAGAAACTACTTATGGAATGCAAAATCCACAGTGGAATATATTTTAAGTATTTTCTCTACTAATCAATTGTGGTATTAAATAGGTTCTTCTGGAAATCACTCAGGCCAAACTGCAAACTATAATCTCTGAGACAAAAGTGTTTAAAATACTAAACATAATTAGCTAGATACTTGGTGCTGATCTGCAGATTTCACTAATCAGATAGGTCAGGGGGTTGAAAAATAACTCAATTATGAGGTCACTAAAGGCTGTGCCAATTTTAAATGATTTTGAAATAAACCATCAACTTTTTGTCATGCAGGTTCATCTAAGTTAGCAAGTCCAGATGAGTTGACCTGAACAATTCAGCTCCTGCGTAACAATAATTTATGAAGGTTTGCCACTGTTGAGCTCAGCTCTGAAACGGCTATTCAGTGTAGAAATCATTCTGATTTGGATATCAACATCTACAGATGAGGAAGACTGATTTTTAGCTATTCATTTTCTCCGGTAATTTTCTATTTCTTAAGTATGGAATTTACATGTCGATTATCCATTTTGCTCTAAAAGTAGCTGATGTTTTTTACATTATCATCACTACAAGCGCGAAGTTTGTTTATACTGTTAAACACGTAGGGTTACCGTCTCGATTTCACAAAGGCATCGATTTTAATTGTATGCATGACTGAGATGTGTATATCAAATATTTGTTTACTTACTTATTTATAACTAGTAGAATGAAAAAGTTTATTGATAATAATTAACAATTTATGAAAAGCAACAACAATAGTTACTTGCCTGCAACAAATTACTGATTTACAAGATAATGCCACGCTGAGAAATTGATCTCTGCATTCACATAGTAATGCATGTTCTAATGTCTTGAACAGGAAAATAAACAGACGAATAGAAATGAATTCGTAAATAACTAAGCATAACATTAATGATAATAATGATAATATATTTAGACGTCACACTTAAGTTGATTGGTAGGACGCCAAGGCCTAGCTTTCTGGCTGATGTTACGCATCAGCAAAGTATATCTACTAAATTGAGAAAACTCACGTTTCTTCGGAGGTTTGAACACGTGTCATCCAGTGCCGCATTTAGAGACTTTATCTGTGGATTGCCCTAACCATGACTGGCCGACTGCAGAACGGAAGTGTACACATCGGTTAGTAACCGAAACAGATGTCAAGTCCCAGGTGATCAGCAATGGTCGATCAAGTTTACAAGATGATCACTAAGTTAAAAGACATAATATTGCAAAAACTATATGTTAGATGCAACTCAAACATCTCAAACTTGATCTATAGTATTCCATCAGTATTGATCACTTAGGACTTGAAAATCGGATTAGTTACCATCCGATTTTTGAATGAACGTATCTACGCTGCTTATGAATATGGATAATCTGACAACCAAAATTTATCCCTGGCAATCCAAAACGTCTTCAAGTACACATCACACCGTAGATTAGTGAGAAAAAAAATTCAACTTGAAGTAAAAACTGAATTCTGTTTTTGATAAATCCCGGTTAATAAATTGACGCGATAAAATAACACATATAACCGGTGATGAGGAATATAAAAGTATAGATCAAACAAACCAACGTAGAACCTAGGGGTGAGGATGCGACGTTCGGAGCGTAACATGAGTATTGCAACATACACTCGCACAATGCATATTCTGGGCAAGATAATGCTATGTCTGTAAGTCCTAACTCAACGGGCACTCATCTAAAAGATGTTGTAGCTAGTGGCGTCAACAATTTAGAAAATCGACACTACATCATCTTAAGAAAATGGGCAATCTAAGATCATTATCAAAAACGTTTCGATTTATAGGTTACAAATCTGTAGTCTGCTATTATTTCATATCCTCAGTTTACAAAATGGGATATGAACTGAAACCGTCCACTGAAAGGTAACCAACATAAGCACATAATAAAGGTTTATTTAAGAAGAGTGATTATAAACAGCCTGTTGGATGGTATCATAATACAATGAAATAACCTGATATTTTCCCCTTTGATGGCCTGTCATACAAGAGTGCTTGCATTATCAGGACCTAGAACAGTTATATCCTCTCACAAGCAAACAAAAGATGATACTGTACGACATTCCTATCAGCTGAATATCTCATTATCACTTGAGGCAGTGAAAGCTAGAAGAAAAAGAAAAGTGTTGAACATATCAAATTACAATGATATGGTCTTTCAGCATCGTGGTGACAGTTAAGGTTTCGTGCTTGAATTTTAAATAGTTCGATGGATGTTTCCAACACCCATTAAAGTGATTTCTAAAGTGGGGTCAGTTATAACGAAATTCGTTTTTATGTTAATAAAACAAAAAGCAAAGAGAGCTTTCAAATAGCAACAGCACAGCCAATAGCATTTGACATTCTATCTTAACAGTGAAAGCCTTCGTTAAATCAAATGTTTCTGTGATTGGGGGGAGGGGGAGGAAGGCATAAATGCAACTTCCCAAACAAAATAATAGTAATTTCAACCGTATTTTATGAAATAAAAATACAAGTCGTACCAGAAAAAAGAAAATACGGAAAAAAAGTTCATGATTGCTACACATATGACTAAAGCTGGAACGAAATCAAATATAGGCTACATCAATAATCCACAGACAAAATTACAATAAAATTATTCAAGTCATAAGAAAGCTAACCGAATAATTGAATAAACTAAGACGATTACGACCGGATTTTGAACGGTTTTAATGCTAATATCAGCTTTTCGTCAAACGAAAAATTAGAATTCCATATTAGATTCGTTTATCTCATTTCTTACACACAGTAATACAGTATTATTTACTTGATGACGTTTCGAGCATAAATCATTGCTCATAATCATATCAATGTAATTACACTACTCTCACCTCTTATTCCTTACTTATATTGGTAGCAAAATTTTCCATACCTCTAGTATAGGTGTTGCGTCATTTCTTTTACAAGTATTCGGTGTTGATTCGATGAACAAACATTCACAAATTAATCTCTCCCTCCACCTAATTATATTCGACTTAAGTACAGTGGCTTCATCCCATCCATCTTATTGTGTGGTTGTGTGTTAATGAATGCATAGCAATACCCAAGCTACTTCACACACTATTGATCTTATGGAGGTCTGTCATTCTGTATTCAGCTCAATTTCTATGTTCCACTTATCTAACTGACCCCAACCGGCTCGTTTGACCTATGTACTTGACCTCGCAATCATTACATGTAATTTGATAGACTGGATTATTTTGTTTGGTTGTTTCTGTCGGATCCGTAAGCCGACAAAGCTCATCTCTGAGTGAGTTTGTAGGTTTCAATTTTCAGCTTTGTTGATGATCCTACGTAAAGTTTCTGGTCTACCTTACTTATAGGGTAACACAATAGAGGCTGTGAGCTCATTTCAACTCGTGTTGTCGTTATCATTCGTACTTGTGTTACTTTTATTATTTCGTTTATGTGTTCGTACGAATTTTTTAGTAAACTATGGAGGACTATTGAAAACTGGAGAGAGTGGGGATTCCTCAACAGTGCAGACCCACAACTTCGAGAGAGATTGAGTCTCGTAGCGATCATGTCGCCATCCAGTCAGTGGGTTGGAAATCTGATGGTCCACATTTTCCTTCTTCTATCAATTTGCGATATAGCGTGACTATAATCCAATGCCATCGATGGGTATTTGGCTTTACACACAAATTGGTGGACCCACAAACCATAGCTTCTCATTGGTACTTAAAGAAACCCATCTCAAAGCATGTCATTAATAGGCACTAATTGAATCAACAGTTCGTAGTGGATTGACTGATTTTAAGATGGTATTCATTATGGACTGATATCAGTCGGGGAACAACTGGAAACTTGACAGCATGAGACAGCTGTTTTGTTTTAGCCTGAGAAATTATAATCTGTAGCCAACTCATATGGATATGAGAATGGATACACGATTATGGGTATTGGATGATAGTTGCACTGTTTCGATAAAGTAGAAAAATATGGACCACTAGATTTTAACCTAGAGGTTGTGTGACAACGAGGTAGAGACAAGACCGGAGAATTCCAGGGTTCCATCACTCGTGGGGTCATGGATGAGTGCTCCTTAAGAGTTCAGTGTTGCGATGAAACAGTAACAAGTTCCTCATGTTTTCAACAGTTCTACAGCTAATGTCAAGTTCTAGTGAATACTACTCTGAAATGCACGTTGCTTCTAAGTTAACCTTCAATGAGTAAATCGACATGTCTATAGAGTATGCGTAAATCAATGACTTTAAAGGCTACTCTATATGGGACTCCTCATGATGAATACTACTTCTAAAATAAAAATCCCCATTCATCTCAAAAATACATTACTCTATAGTGCTCATTAGTGACTTGCTTCCAGATGGATCTTAGGAAGTTCTAATGAGAGGCCGTCACCTGTGGGGTCAACCAGTCGGAAGTGAAGTGGATGCTAACTGAACACCTTGGGTGACAGTCGCGCTGTGTCGTGAATTGACAGAAGTTGGAGATTGTGAACCACTGGAAACCGACACAGTGGCTGAATGCTTAAAGCGTTGGCCGTGAAACCTGAATGTGACTACCTGTAGAATCCACCAAAACAAAATTAAATGTAGGTTTTACAAATCAGATACGATTTAACTATTAAGATGCATACGGAAATGATAGTTCATATTAATAGGCTTTATAGACCATGTTTAGGAAATGAGTTAATTGTCTAATTCCTCAATTATCAGTAGCTTTAATTTATGCAAACGTTCCACGTTTTTTTCTACATTATTTATCTTATTCACATCTGTCATTCTATATTTAGGTAAATTCCTATGTTCGGCTATTTTAACTGACCCCGACCGACTAGTTTGACCTATGCATTTGACCTCAGAGTCATTAGATGGAATTCGAGAGAATAAAATATTTCGCCTACTTGCTTCTATCGGATCCTTAAGCCGACAAAGTTGATCTGTGAGTGAGATTATAGGTTTAAATGCCACACAAATTCCAGCTCCGTTGAGGATTCTACTTGAAGGTTCTGAGGTGCCCTTAGTATAGGATAATACAATGGAGGCTGTTAACTCCTTTTTTTCTCGTGTTGTCGTTATTATTTGAACCCGTGTGACTGTTAATAATTATCCTGCGCAGTTTTATTAGGAATTTGTTGCAGACGCACGAAAAACGGAAAAAGAGTCACACGAGTGCGACTAATAACGACAACACGAGAAAAAAAGGAGTTAACAGCCTCCATTGTATTATCCTATAATAAGGGCACCTCAGAACCTTCAAGTAGAATCCTCAACGGAGCTGGGATTAGGGTGGCATTTAAACCTATAATCTCACTCACAGATCAACTTTGTCGGCTTAAGGATCCGATAGAAGCAAGTAGGCGAAATATTTTATTCTCTCGAATTCCATCTAATGACTCTGAGGTCAAATGCATAGGTCAAACTAGTCGGTCGGGGTCAGTTAAAATAGCCGAACATAGGAATTTACCTAAATATAGAATGACAGATGTGAATAAGATCAATAGTCTAGAAAAAAACTCGGCTATTGCTATGCATGCATTAACATACAACCACACAATAAGATGGATGGGATGAAGCCACTGTACTTAAGTCCAATATAGTTACGTGGAGTGAAAGATAGATTACTAAATCCTTTGTTTACCGAATCAACACTTAACACATGTACAGAGATGACGCAACACCTATACCAGAGGTATGGAAAATTTGGTTAACAATAAATGCAACTGATATAAAGCGACGTAACTATAAAAACAAATGTCGAAAGTAATGTGATTACATTGATATGATTAGGAGCAATGATTTATGCTCGAAACGTCATCAAGTAAATAATACTGCATCACTGAGTGTACAAACCAAATAAACAAACCTAAGATGCAAAACTCCCCATTTAGACATATAGTAAAAGAAACAATATGAGCGCAGAAATATTTCTTTTCAATAAGTTCCTGATCAATGGCTCTACACTAATATAGCTTACTGAAAACGTTAAGTTACATACCACTAAAGTGGTAAGAGTTGTTTAATGAAAGGTTATCAATCTTAAAGTTTCAAGTGGGTGCCAACTGATCAATTAATAAGGACACTTAACTAAAGCATAGATTAATTACAATCGAAAGATTTTATGAAATTTAAAACGGGTTCCTACACAAGTGACACTTCGTATAATGGTAAATAAAGAGAGAAAATGAACCACAACAAAAAGTGGTAAAATGTCAACGTAAATAGAGACAGTAGAGGAAGAAGAAAATGGCTGAATCCGTAATAATAATCATGATAATAACAATAGAGCAATTTAAACATCAGCTAAGATCAATTCAGCGGTGAATGAAATGACAAAAACAACAAGACTCTTCAAGAACTCCGCGGCCATATAAATCTCTTTCTCTTTCAGATCTCTTCGACTAAACAGATCATTAACAACTAGCAAGGATCGTGAGACTAAGCAATGCCGATTCGTAATCTTCGCATACGCACCCATCGACTGCACCTCGGATGATGCAAAGCATGAATTCTATGAAAACCTGTCAACCTTGCTACACAAACAAAAACGTTCAAATGCAGTCATCATAGCACGGGACCTTCACGCTCAAATAGGAAATTTGAGCCAGTCACAAAGACATGTTGGAGATATCTGAGGAATCTCAGGTCAACGAACCAACAACAACCGTCATCGTCTGTTGCAATCCTCTTCCGATAATCACTTGTTTCTCGTCAGCACTAACTTTAAGCATAAGGAAGGCCACTGTCTCACATCGTGTCCACCAACATCAAACCAACCAACGATGGACACACACAGATCACACTGCCATACGCCATCGTTGGAGTGCATCGGTGATGGATTACCACTCTTTCTCGAGTGCCTGTTTGCACTCCAATCACGCGCACTAGCACTACTCATGTTTACTTACGCCTAACTGGTCGCAACAAACAGGCCGCACACAAGCCTCTCTATCGTCAAGTTCGAATTTAGAAAGCAATTAGCTAACCATTTATCTGAACATGACAACAATCCTCATCCTGGGGAATCCTGGCGTAATATTAAGTCTGCTGTAAAAACAGAGGGAAAGACAATTGGTAACCTAAACACGGAGGTTTGCGAAAGTCGTTGGCGTCGTCCGATCTGACCGATACGAGAAGACTGATTCCAGCTGTCTTCGACAATGACGAAGAGCGAAAACAACTCAAACATAAGTAAGTTGAATAAGAGTCTTCGCGTCGATCACAAGCTGTGGTGGGTGACGAAAGTGAGAGAGCTGGAGAAGGCATTAGAGTTGGGTAACACTCAGCAACTGTTTACACCCATTAAGAATACCAGGAAGAAGAAAACCATGGTTAGTGAAACCATCATCATCGACCACTTCACTCACTTGGGGAGCCGCATCACCCCCAAACGGAGTGGTTGCTGACGAAATCTCAGCTCGGATACAGAAGGTTTGTTTGGCATTTGACAACTTGTATCATCTGTGGCACTCAATGATTGCCAAGGCATCCGACTATCTATCAAATCACGACTATACCACACTGCAGTCCGTACCGTCATGTTGCACGACTGCAACCAACGGCCACTAAAAGTAGACGAAACGAAACGGTTACTGGGTTCCACTCACAGAGGTCTTCGTAGCACTGCTTACATTTAGTGGAATCACTATGTTAACAATGTTGACGCAAGGCGACCGGTACTAGATATAACAAGTACGTGAGTCAATGTCGTTGTGAACATTCATCAACTGAGATGGCTTTGACACATAGCCTGCATACCTACCTAGCCATCGCATACCTTGACGTACCACAACAGTGAAAGTTGGGTTAGGTTGGAAGAGGTTTCAGAGTGGCCAGATCAAAACCTGGCACCAGTCGATGAAGTCTCTTACTGTTGTCTGAGTCGTGTGGGGAGATGTAGAATGTCTGGTTGAGGTCCTCGACACGATAGGAATCAGGTGCTGACATGGTCACTCACATGGTTGAAAATCAGTCACAATGGAGTAGATGTATTCACCCCTTGACCCCTTCAATATTTCCACTAACCATTATCTTAGAATTGTCCATTCTATCACACAACTTTATCTACTTTGATGTCACTCTTTTTCAGTCCAGCTGTTCTTCTACACTACTTTGTAGTGTGATAACTTGGGGGTGATGCAGTACTGTGCGTAGTTTCTTATTGGTTTTATCTGTCTGTTGCTGTCTTCAGTTTATCTCACCTTGAAATTCAACCGCAACACGAACTGAAGGTGCTTTACTAACACTGGTGTATTTAGGATAAGAATCTTGTCAAGAGAAACTACCAAAAGTACTAATATGCTTCTCGGTTCCTAATTGTCTTAGTCACAATCCTAATCACAAGGTAACAAGGTTTAATGCAAATGAGAGGGTAAAATGTCTTTGGCTACTGAGATTGACAGAAAATGTGTTTGGGACAGGAGTCGTACTAACAGCTTCCATGCCTAAAATTTAAGGTTTTAGTTGTTGATAGAAAAAACCTAGTTGCCAGTTACGGGTACAAAATCCAGTCTGTCAGTCCAGGATATTTTAACTAATATCTTCACTTTCAGTTCTTATGACCATTCGTATAAAAAATCAATGCATGAATATCATAAATTTAAGAAAAAGGAAACTCACTTTGCCATCAACTATTAAGGCGAAATCATTTTCCATACGAATTCGATCGCCGAAATCCTCAATTAAATTGACTAATTGTTCACGGGTTTCATCTAATGACTTTGAATTCATAGTAAGTAAGGTTATTGATGGAGTTAACAGTTGGCATGAATAACCTAGTAAATGAAATAAATTAACAGATAAATACAACAATTAGACTTAATTAAATTATTTGAAATCACAGTTTCACTTTCAGTCACCAAGTTCAACTATAGTTGGGAGATTTGAAGTGACTAGCGTTAAAAAAATTGTAGAAATATATCGCTGTACAGTAGAAATGGAGATATTAAAACTTAAGGTCGAAGTGAATTATAATAATTGATAACTTTTCTGAGAAAGATGAATGTTTCGTATTCAGACTTGATAAAGACATATGGTGCTGAATTCATTCTGACTGACATAAGGTTATAATCACGTAAAGAGAAACTACTCAATCGCAGTGAATGTTACCTTAATATATTAGAAAATAAACTGAGACATAATCAACATAGAACCTTGTATCATTAACTAGCTACTTGGGCTGCTATAATTCATATCGGTACTCCGATGGCTGTAAACGCTAAGAAGACAAAGAGGAAAATACATGAAGAGAATAAAGATGTGGGGGACTAAGATTTAAATGAAGATTAACAGTCAAGAAACGTGAATGATAATTTGTATAGAAATTAACACAACATACCAATATTAACAGCTGTTTCTTGCTTATCTCCAGTAAGAACCCATATAGAAATTCCAGCTCTCATTAAATTGGCAATTGTCTCTGGGACACCTGATTGCAAGCGATCTTCTATAGCAGTTACACCGAGCAGCTGAAGATTCTGTAGAAATAAAAGATCCGGATGACAGAAAATTCATATATACAGAGGAAATATGAAAAATTGAGAGAAAATATTAATTCTATGAACGGAAAATAAACTAGACAAAAATTGAAATTATCACAACATAATTACAAAAATAAATCAACCAAAAACATTTTGGGGCAACTTAATAATACATTGGTTTAACTTATCTTAATCCCCCTCCTTCAAAGTCTAACCAAACCTATTTATGCAAATGATGCACACATAAGTAAGACAACAGCTTCACAGACTATTTTCATCACCTTCGAACTTTCTAAAAACAGAAGGAAGACCTATAAAATGAATAAGAAAACTCAACTATATTCCAGAGGTGTTACAGGTAATTATGATCAAATGAATCAGAAGCTAACCGGCGAATCCCAAAAGTCCTATATGACATGCATGTTGAAATATTCTATTCGTACTCAAAACAGTACCATTTTTGAGAACTTGAAATAATGATCGGTAAAATTGACTATTGCAAGTGGATGAGGAGATATGAAAAGTGTAGCATGTTTACATAAGCGATTTGACAAAGAGAATTAATTAAAAATGTTCAGGAAAGTATCTGAGTTGCAAATAATAATCGTACTTATCAACAGACGTCTAATAAAGTGATAATCATCGCAAAATTATTATTATTATTCATGAAACATTGAAAAATCAGTGCAAATTATCTGCAAAGTTTGAGGTTGGCATGAAGCTGGCTCCTCGAACCATTCGCAGAAATAGTAATAACGATAAGACCGACAGGCAAATGAATCAACAATACATAATACTGACCAACAGGAAGATTTAGATATAATGTGAGAGTAAAATTTTGGATATGCTTCATAAAGTATACTGGAGTACTTTTAGTAACAGACAATCGTTTGTCTCCAGTGAAATAGTAGAATGTAGGTACTATATTGTTCACTAGATGCAGTCAATAATACAATTTCCTTTATGTGATGTATGTGGTTACACAACCATGCTGGAAACATTTGACTCATTCGGATACATTCTCATAAGTGATGTACGTGAACCAATTCATGTCCCTGAGTCCAATTATTCAGACTACTTAAATCTATGTTAAGTCAGTAAAACACTATTTTATGCATAAATGACCTGTATTATAACATGACTATAATTTATCATCAACAAAAGATTAACAACAAAATTTGAATGTTCAGCTCAGCAAACATAAAAAATGAACAACAGATCTAATTCATGCTTTTTAATTCATTAGATTGGTAATTCTATGAAAAATAAGAATTTTCAATCTAGAATTTTAAAATATGGCATAATATGTTAATCATTAAAACCTGTCCTCATGAAGCTGTCTGGGTCTCACCACCAAATATCAACATTATGCCTAACAGAAGATGAAATGCAAAGTAATGCATGCTATATCATCTTACAAAATACGATTTAAAATAATTATTTAGCAAACGGCTTTTTGATCAAACTAAAGAATGACGAACTTGTGATGAAAAACGTTTCTTTGTGACCTGAACACAAAACATTCTAAAAGCTATCAATTAAAACTTAATACCAAATACAATGAACCAATGTATTTTACTATTTAGATTAAAGGTTAAACTACATAAGCTCAGCCAAAAGAAGTAAAAAAATAACAGAGACCACCACATTGTTTATAATTTAGAAGTGATCTGATAGTAATAACTCTCAGAACAGTGTATCGCAATGAACACTTAACAGATACGCTAAACCATCATACCTACAGCGTACAGTGGCTAAACATAGCATTAACTTCGTAAAACTATTTTGGAAAATTGTTTAGATTGACTACCCACAAAAAAAGAAAAAAAACTATTGACAGTTCTAGGCTTGAATGCCTCATCTCTGGTCATCTAACCCCTCCCAGTAGTTCTATCAAAGAAGTCTACAGAGTACCTTCCCTATGATCTTACAAGACTCCGACGACGCGATCTAGGCATAAACAATTAATAAGAAATTCACAACTTAAAAACTTACCATTGTATTAAAAGACAATATGCATACCCAACAATCTAACTATGGCAGAAGCAGTAGTCTTTGTTGACTCCTGAACATCACAATAATCATGTAACGCAGTTCATTAATATTAAAGCATTACACATTTCCAAGTTCAATGCTAACAATAAGGCAGCTTTAGTAAATGAAATCCTTCCAAAGAAAACTTTCCTCCATGTAACATGTCTGTTTAGTTACCATTAAAAAGGAAAAATATGGCAAAAACTGAGAAAAAAAGGAAATGTATGGCCTTCTGAAATAAGAAAAGAATTCTGACCACACACCGACACACACAAACGAAATCACGGAAAATTGCAGCGTCTCAAGCTGACAAAATTCACAGGAGCATACAAAGAAAACCTGAATACAAAAAGTAAGGGAAAAGTAGATAAGGTTTCAAATGAACACTAGCTGAAACATCAGCAGAGCGCCTGGCTTCTATACCACAAGCGCCCGAAGCGCTACAAAAGCCAGAAGACTCGTACCGTTTAGGTCCAACCATGCAAGCAAGGTGTGTTAGATAGTGTTAAGACGAAAAGCACTTGTCGTTGTACTGTCATTTACTATGCTAAGATGCGGGTGTGACGGCGAAGTTGTGCTGCTGCTAGCTTGATGGCGTGTGACAGCAGTAGGGTGTTCCACTTGAATGATAGGCAAAAACATGCTAATGCTGCCTGCTCTCCGCAACGACGGGGTTGGAAAAAAGGTCCGCTACAAAAGTAACAACCAACCACGCACTCGGTCTTCCGGCGCCTGCGGTAAGTGTTATATCCATCCGCCGTCATAACAACCACACCTCAAACAACAACCCACAAAAGACAGTGTGTGACAGGACTCAAAAATATATACCATGGGGTCTGGAGTCACACAAATCTCCTTCTCTTTTAGATAGATACCTTAAGAAAAAATAACTTCAAACGGTGTACGCAACCAGAAACTCCAAAACCCCCACACGATCCTACTAATGCACAAGACACAATCAAACACAAACAAATCATCCTCAACTCGGTCTCCTCCTTCCCCATCGGCTCCTGGTGCCAATATTAGACATCTTGCGCCTTATCCAACTTCTCACTCTACAACCACTGCCAACAACCAAACCCAATGAAACCTCATTTCAAGTCTCTTAACACCCCACCATCACTTTCATGTAGGACTTTTCAACATCCGAACTCCATGCCAGGACCGTGCAATCCCTTGACACCCATATATACTGTCTCTCTGACACACATATACAGCACACCAGTACGCTTATTCATTTAACTTCGCCTCACCAGTATGCTCAATCTTCAAAATTCACCTCACAAGTATCCAGAGACCAAATGACCAGCTCTTGTGCACTCGCTGGTCTACGCATAGCATTAGGCTGTATGAATGAAAGTGCGCTTCTCAATTGCATATCAGTCAACAGCCATCTATGTTCTCTTCGACTGAATACATCATTAACAACTAGCAAGGATAGTGAGACTAAGCAATGCCGATTCGTAATCTTCGCATACACACCCATCGACTGCACCTCGGATGATGCAAAGCATGAATTCTATGAAAACCTGTCAACCTTGCTACACAAACAAAAACGTTCAAATGAAGTCATCATAGCACGGGACCTTCACGCTCAAATAGGAAATTTGAGCCAGTCACAAAGACATGTTGGAGATATCTGAGGAATCTCAGGTCAACGAACCAACAACAACCGTCATCGTCTGTTGCAATCCTCTTCCGATAATCACTTGTTTCTCGTCAGCACTAACTTTAAGCATAAGGAAGGCCACTGTCTCACATCGTGTCCACCAACATCAAACCAACCAACGATGGACACACACAGATCACATTGCCATACGCCATCGTTGGAGTGCATCGGTGATCGATTACCACTCTTTCTCGAGTGCCTGTTTGCACTCCAATCACGCGCACTAGCACTACTCATGTTTACTTACGCCTAACTGGTCGCAACAAACAGGCCACACACAAGCCTCTCTATCGTCAAGTTCGAATTTAAAAAGCAATTAGCTAACCATTTATCTGAACATGACAACAATCCTCATCCTGGGGAATCCTGGCGTAATATTAAGTCTGCTGTAAAAACAGAGGGAAAGACAATTGGTAACCTAAACACGGAGGTTTGAGAAAGTCATTGGCGTCGTCCGATCTGACCGATACGAGAAGACTGATTCCAGCTGTCTTCGACAATGACGAAGAGCGAAAACAACCCAAACATAAGTAAGTTGAATAAGAGTCTTCGCGTCGATCACAAGCTGTGGTGGGTGACGAAAGTGAGAGAGCTGGAGAAGGCATTAGAGTTGGGTAACACTCAGCAACTGTTTACACCCATTAAGAATACCAGGAAGAAGAAAACCATGGTTAGTCAAACCATCACCGTCGACCACTTCACTCACTTGGGGAGCCACATCACCCCAAACGGAGTGGTTGCTGACGAAATACCAGCTCGGATACAGAAGGTTTGTTTGGCATTTGACAACTTGTATCATCTGTGGCACTCAATGATTGCCAAGGCATCCGACTATCTATCAAATCACGACTATACCACACTGCAGTCCGTACCGTCATGTTGCACGACTGCAACCAACGGCCACTAAAAGTAGACGAAACGAAACGGTTACTGGGTTCCACTCACAGAGGTCTTCGTAGCACTGCTTACGTTTGGTGGAATCACTATGTTAACAATGTTGACGCAAGGCGACCGGTACTAGATATAACAAGTACGTGAGTCAATGTCGTTGTGAACATTCATCAACTGAGATGGCTTTGACACATAGTCTGCATACCTACCTAGCCATCGCAAACCTTGACGTACCACAACAGTGAAAGTTGGGTTAGGTTGGAAGAGGTTTCAGAGTGGCCAGATCAAAACCTGGCACCAGTCGATGAAGTCTCTTACTGTTGTCTGAGTCGTGTGGGGAGATGTAGAATGTCTGGTTAAGGTCCTCGACACGATAGGAATCAGGTGCTGACATGGTCACTCACATGGTTGAAAATCAGTCACAATGGAGTAGATGTATTCACCCCTTGACCCCTTCAATATTTCCACTAACCATTATCTTAGAATTGTCCATTCTATCACACAACTTTATCTACTTTGATGTCACTCTTTTTCAGTCCAGCTGTTCTTCTACACTACTTTGTAGTGTGATAACTTGGGGGTGATGCAGTACTGTGCGTAGTTCCATATTGATTGGGTCATCGTGGTCGACGTGGTGGTGCATTAAAAGATCTGTGAGTGAGCTAAATGATAATGGTGGCAGTGAGCATGCCTGTCAACTGCAGATGTGTTTTTCTATTTGCTTGCAAACTCTCTAGAAGCTCTCACGCTGCTGGGTGAGGTCGAGTAAGTAATTTCGATTTCGGCGGCGATTTGGCTCAGTACTCCTTTTACAATCGTGAACTGCTATAGCTCTTGGTGGACGACAGAGTCAATGCCACCTTGAGGTCGAAAAATGCAGAGGTTGGACGTGCGGTAGGTATACCGGTTATGTAAAATGCTACAGGGGGTGAAATTCTGATAAGTTTATGAAATGTAATATTAGGAACTCACTTCACAAAGAAATACATTGTTTTTTGGAAATTGAATTGAGAAATGGTTAATCACGTGATATAACCAGTCAAATTTCAGAACGAATAAGTAATAATATATAGAGATAGTCCGAATCAAAACAGTTAAAGAAATGTGGAGACTTACTTGCTCAATTTCATTTGCTACGCTTTCTAATTTAGCTTCGCGATCGGAAAGTGCTGTACTAGCTTTATGGAAACTTGTTGCCCATTTTTCATAAAATTGTGGATCGACTTCAGCCCAAGCAATGCACAAGGTTCGAAGACCTATAGTCAGATGGAGATAATTACATTAATGTTTTTGAGATGCAATCAATGCTTTACGCAATCCGTAAGGTAGGAAACTGCATTCTTTAATTCAGTTCAAACTCTTCAGAAGAAACTAAAGGCTTCAGTATACTTTATTCCTCTTAAATTTTTGGACCACTGACAGTTTATTTTGACTGAAAACAAACAAAATACTCACCATGTAACTTACGCAGAAGTAGGGTGTATAGTTTTAGCCTGAAGATGTAACACAGTTGATGGGGTAGCGGACCTTCATCAACTGAGATGGCTGGGACATGTGTTACAGATGGCTAACCGCTGACCGCCTTGTCACTCAACGTTGGCCGAAGTACGTTCAGGCTGGGAAAAAGCTCTAGGAGGGGAAACTAAGACATGGCATCAATGCATGAAGTCTTTGAATGTTCGTTTGAGCCATGTGGGGAGATGGAGACTAGCCAGCTGCGGTTCACGGAACAAGAGAAACTGGGGTAGTTGACTCAATGTGACAGCTCAGAATCGATGTTTGTGGCTCAGACGTATACAAACATCATTAACTTGAGCATTAAATTTAATCTCAACATTTTCTCACTCCCCTTGCTTCTCTTTTACTACCACCCACTTCTTCTGACCGATTCTTTTCCCATACACCTTCCACCTAATTGCCTCGTTACGTGGTGTGCTGATATGCAATGTCACAACTTGGACCATTGCGCAGTAATGAAAGTATCTAAACTGACCTTCATGAAGATAATGAAACAACTACTTCAGTCAGAAAACTTTAGATAAGCATTCATGAAAACGTTTAGTGAAGAAAATCAAGTTTTATGGTTAGAATGCTGAAACTGACTTAAATACACTGAAATCAAATGTTTGTTTGCTAAAAAACTTCGGAGAACTCATAACACACAAAGCATAGATCATGGCCTAATGTTATCCATGAACATGATCAATTTGCAAATTGCACACTTCACCCTGACATTTCTCACAGATTAGTTTTCCAACTATCCAACTGCGGTGTCAACAGAGTTTCAGTTGGAAACCATCCAACCACGATTACACGGTGTGATCTCTGATACAGAAGTGTCATGAACAAACAAAATATGCTATTTAACAACTCGAGTAGTTAGAAACCACTTAGACTGACCAGTAGGTTTCGACAGCCAGACCAGACTGATCTAAACTACGGATAGCCGTCACGCTCGTCTCGAGGACTACCCGTACAAATTCTGCTTACATAACCGAGCAGTTCAGATCATCTGAATTTGGGTTGCTGACTTGTGTGGACTGATATACCTTAAATAGGATGACCAATCTGCAAATGATTAAAAAATAGCACTGTCCATGTTGACACTTCTCATGCGAGGCAGCTAGCTAGGCTCAGGTGATCTGAACAATTTGACTCCATGAGCTGAATTTGTCCGGCTACACTGGTGGTGGTTGGTTAACACAAGTATATAGGCCAGATGCAGAGGTAGAGAATAAAAAGAATATCCGATAATATATAAACCATCGCTCACGAAGGAATAATCTTGGTTACCAAAACCACTTATGAACATAGATCATTTGTAGGTAAAACTGTTTGATTTGAATGACATTACCATCTGCTAAATTCAGTCCTAGGGATGTTCAAAGCTGAATAGTTGTGGTTCTCATTACAAAGATGTATACCTGGGTGGCGAGAAACGCATCATAAACATTTTCAAATCAACGCTCAACTTAATGTGTCTAGAAGACTATGCATCTCGCAAGCGTCTTCAACTAGCAGGACTATATCAACTGCCAACTCTATATCTACCAAGAATTCCTTTATGATAAGGTCGATCTCTGTGAAGTCAGACAAATAGAAGGGGCACCATTATAAGTACGTCTGTGATAAAAATGAGTAAGAATGAAGAGAGTGGACATCCTTGACAAGCACCACACGGCATAAACAACTCACCTGATAACTCACTATACGCTGTAACACGCCCACAGGGATTCGACTACAGAGTCTTCAAGAGTCATATACTTACTCGGCAAACCGTTCAGTGAGAGTTGTCATCATAGAACCTCTCGATCGACAGAGTCGAATGTCTCAATCAGATCGAGAAACACACCCAGTGTCGGGCAGCTCTAAGTGTGCGTATGTTCCTGAACCTGTCGGGATGTGAATATATGATCAATATACCCACGACAAGGTTGAAAAACCAGGATGGTATCCTCGGCTGTGCTCTTATCGAGCTCCACTCAGACGTGCGATAGAACGTACGATCTCAGACACAACATGCTACAGACTGACTATTTTGCGGTAATCACAGGAGGACTTCTCACCTTTCTTCAAAATTGCGACAATCAGTGGCCAACAAAAGCCAAAAGGGATCGAATCTGACTCACATACACATCCTAACACTGCAGTTATTTTGACTTATGATCCTCTGATCACCCCGTTCCTGAATACCTGTCTCATCCTGCAGCTCTTCCTCATATCAGGTTACCTACAGACTTTGACTTGTGCAAGACTTGGAGGTCCAATCTCAAGGTTCCGACTGGATGAGGAGTGGGCAACAGATTAGCAGCTGGAAGCTAGTCGAACTGTTTCTTGAAGTGTGTTGCACATCTATGAGAACTAGGAAGGATAGTGAGACTAAGCAATGCCGATTCGTAATCTTCGCATACACACCCATCGACTGCACCTCGGATGATGCAAAGCATGAATTCTATGAAAACCTGTCAACCTTGCTACACAAACAAAAACGTTCAAATGAAGTCATCATAGCACGGGACCTTCACGCTCAAATAGGAAATTTGAGCCAGTCACAAAGACATGTTGGAGATATCTGAGGAATCTCAGGTCAACGAACCAACAACAACCGTCATCGTCTGTTGCAATCCTCTTCCGATAATCACTTGTTTCTCGTCAGCACTAACTTTAAGCATAAGGAAGGCCACTGTCTCACATCGTGTCCACCAACATCAAACCAACCAACGATGGACACACACAGATCACATTGCCATACGCCATCGTTGGAGTGCATCGGTGATCGATTACCACTCTTTCTCGAGTGCCTGTTTGCACTCCAATCACGCGCACTAGCACTACTCATGTTTACTTACGCCTAACTGGTCGCAACAAACAGGCCACACACAAGCCTCTCTATCGTCAAGTTCGAATTTAAAAAGCAATTAGCTAACCATTTATCTGAACATGACAACAATCCTCATCCTGGGGAATCCTGGCGTAATATTAAGTCTGCTGTAAAAACAGAGGGAAAGACAATTAGTAACCTAAACACGGAGGTTAGCATCTAGACATCGAATCTCCAGAAACTCATCCTTGGATTTTAGAGATTTATGATATTGAATGGGTGAGTGAATCACTGCACTTTGATTGTGATGCATGTCTCACATAGATAGCATATATGGATGGTGTGATATTCCAGTTTTGGTCAGTGAAGCTTCTTGGCCGTTTTGTCTGAGGTAGCTTACGCACAGCACCCGAATATGTAGCTTGTAGCATGGTTTCATGAGACCAGGAGTGCTAGTTTATGAACACAGATGGCTATCAATAGCTGCAGGGCTGAAACAAACTGAAGATGACATAGGAATCTTGATAAGTAGAGTCGACAGAAGAATAAAAGTGTGGAAGGTGGATAGTGATCTGAAGGAACGAGCGTTCGCAAAGTTGTGAGGGAAATCGAGTGCTAATTACACTACGTTGATTCTGACACCGCGGTAGGGTTGGGTGAGTTCGGAACCCGCGACATATTGGTCGAAATCTGGTGTCTGAGCACTCAGCTACAGCTCCGCTTTTGTAGACCCGAATCTAGAAAATCATTTGTTTTGAACGCGGCTCAGACAGACACACAAACAAACAACGATTTCCTGAAATAATGCCATGTGTTTTAACTCAATATTTAACCTAAATATTACTAAAATAGGTACTTCAGAAAACGCCACCAATGCTGCACTTTTCAAAAACACATTAATAACAAAGCCAGTAAAATTATAGTGATTCTAAAGTTAGTAAAGAAGTATATGAGTAGGGAAAGAAGAGAAATGTTTCAAACCTTAAAGAGGACTTGAAAACAAAGTCATCCTATGCACTATGATGAATTCTAAGCAGTTACTTACGATCGACAACTATGGATTTCTAACACTCTCCGAAATGAGACCTGTATATGTAGAATGCTTAGCCTTCCACTAACAGCAGCTGCTGTATATTTAAAGGTCGCTATTATTCGACGAGGAATCATGAAGGCAGTGAAGATAAAATTAGTAGACAAAGGCGACCCAACGAAAGAGCAAATAATGATTTAGAAAAGAAAGAATGTGTGCGAAGAAATATTTCATTTCAACCTGCGCAACGATCGATAAGATGGGGATAGTAAGGAAAATATCGATAAACACAACTGTATTGATCACTACGAATAATTTTTGCTTTGATCATACGCCGAATACCATTTACAGAAGTAAAAAAGTGAGGAGTGTTAACCGTGCATGGTAAGAAGTTACGTAATATTGGAGTGAAAACAATCAATTTCAAAACATTGAAAGATGACATGTTGAATTAACGCATAGCTCATTCGCTATGTGATCAGATACACTCCCGTTCTATAAACCCTACACAATTCCACCTTCTCCAACGGTCTAAACAGACAAAAAAGCTTTTTACAGAGGTTTTCCGGGAGATGAAACACAACAGACCGTGACAGCCTTATGAAAGCACAGGTATCAAGAAGGATTATATACAATCACAGAAAATAAAATATAATATAATAATAATAATAATATAATATAATATATAATATGATATAATATATACTAAAAGTGAAAAAAATGTAGAATTCTTTCGCATTTCATGCATTTTAAACACAATATTACTGTCGGTTTACGAGAGAGATAGGAAGTATTATTTTGTTATCAGGAGTTGCTTAGAACTTTGAAAAAAGTGATGATAATCGTTTTCCAACTACGGTATAACAAGACAGAAGGCACCTATCAATAGTCAGTTAGTGTACATTATTCTTCCATAGAAAAGGTCACCAATAGTTTGGATGTCTCAGTAACAACGGATTCAACTACAATATTGAGTGACGTAGGTATAGCTCTCAAATTGAGCTTTCTATCTTTCGAGGTTAGGGGGATTATACAACTGGTTACTAAAAGGAATTATGCAACCTACGGTGAAAATATCGTAGAAATAACCTTCAATGAATGAATGAAAGCAACCTTTGGTTCGTGAAGGTTTTAATTCCTTCAATACATGTTTTTATGACTGATATGAAATTCAGGATGACAAATAAAAGCTTACCAGTTTTAGCAAAATTTTCTAAATGATCCATGGTGGATTGAGCGTATAAACTAGTACTGGCGAGTCGTTCAAATATAACCGTATCCTACATACGTTTGAAAAACAATTATAAATCATAAAAAACTTTGCGGAAAAAAATCATGATTTTTATGAGATAAAAAAATTAAGCTACATAAATAATGAAAAAAAGCGGCGAAATACTTTTATCAGTGAATCATAAAGCTTAACAGGATCCATAAACATGTTAACGGTATATGCACGTAAGCACAGACAAAAATCAATATATGCATATGAACAAATAGTTTGTGCCCAAAATGTAGATCAGTAAAAATACTATTTAATCACTGGTTTATATAAAATAACTAGGCAACTGTTTTTTAAACTGTGATTGATCTATTTCTCTGTTGAACAGAGTTTATGCTCACAGTATCATAGTTGAACTTAACAGTTCATAATGACAGTCAGTCAATTACTCAGATGTCGTTGGAAATTACGATAAATTAAGTTAATACTGATAAAAATTCATTTATTCCTCTCCCCCTTCTGTCAGATACTTTTGTTTACTTTAATGCCATTATTTTATCAATTTTCTCCTTGGATGATGTAAACTGTGGTGGCTTAAACTGATGGACCAGTGCCACATTCTACGCTGATTTATCTGTTTAAGTCATATATTTGATCGGTGTTTGTATGCATACCATCAGACAGGAGCAAATGAGACTTCTTAGACTTGAATCGCTTAAAATTGTCGCTAAAAGCCATTAGTCAAAGAATGAATGGATTAACGCCAAATCTTCGTCCGGTCAACCTTACATTTTTCCCAACTCAACCATACTTTGGTGAACATCACACGTCGAAGTAAAGGGTAAATCAGCATGTGTAACGTGTTTCCAAACAACCTTAGAAGGTGACGCTTTACAGCCTTTCTTGCCTATTGCTCTATGACTAATCCATATTACCAACACAATTATTCTACCACAAACGAGCAGCGGACAGCATCTACAGTCAGAAACCTGCATTTTACTAACACTTCTGCTTTCAACAAGCACGTCTAACAGTCTCAAGCTTCCTATTGCTGTGTACTACAATTGTCCTTCAAGTGGTGTTCGTTACTCGTACAGGATCACAATCAAACATTTGGTGTAGCTTTTAAACAAGTAGAACACTAGAATCCCCCAAAAAGTGCATCATAATATTAGAAAAATGGCTCACAGCTCCTTTGACCATTACTGAAATACGTCCATTTGGTTCACGAACAACGACACCCATGCGTTTTCGAAAACTGGTGAACTCCAGCACATGTAATACTGTGTATTGTTTTTCAACACCATGCTAGAGAATAACGGAAATCCAAAACATAACTATGAATGCGTCTGACAGTAGGAAGAAAATGTAAATAATTTATTTGCAAATACTGAAAAGTGATTCAGAAAATATCTTTTCGAAAGGATGTATGATATTCAAAATGAGTGCCATTACTCGAAACTGACTTCAAGGTATGAAAATACGAAGTATTTGTAAAATAGAGGATCATACTTTGACATCAAATGATCAAGATAAGGCATAGCAGTGGAGGATTCGTTTACGCGAGTATTCCATAAACCAGAGAAAGGGAATATAAGGGGATTATGAAGATATTAGGATAAAGAAAGATGTCGAAAACGTAAATGAAGACTAATGAAGTTTTCAGAATTGTAAAGATGATGAGAGGAAAAATGTCTGCCTTCTTGTGATCAAATTCAATCCACGTCGATGAGAGTCTTTCCAAACATTTACCTATATTAATTATTTTGAGAGCCACGATCAGGTAGATCATACCTTCCTGAAAGACTCACACCTAAGTTTAGTAACTTTATTAATTGGTGCCATTTCTCAATTCGGTTATCATTACTGATTATTTTATTTTGATATTATCTACTCACGACAATCGAGTAAGTGGACGAAATATGAATAAATTGAAGACAAACATATAAAAACCAGCCTAGTTACGTAACACATGCTGGTAACCATATAGGACAATATCTCGATCCCAACAACCATTCATTATTCATTCGAAACACTCTAGTCATACGTCTAGGAAACACAAGAATAAAGTGAATGTAATTCAATGAACGTGAAACAAGGTGAATCATTTTCTTGTTTAGTTGAACTCAGTGAACAAATATAATGAAAATACCGATACATGTTGAAGGAGATGCATGAACGAATAAATCAATAAATCAATTACATTGCTGACTTATGAGAACAATAAAAATCCTGTTGTCTCAGCAGATGTAGTTGAAGAGGTAAAACTACGTTAGACAATAAGAACATGATATTTGTGAATAAATTTAATTCGAAAAAACAACCTTGAAAAAGATAGAATATGAGCTCTATTGAAAACTGAAAACAGGCGAAAGGATAAAATAGTTAAGAGTGAAAAAAGAACCGAAAAGAAGCAGTTAAGAAAAACGAGGTTACAAAACACAAATTCCAATTTCATTAATTTGACTGTATGAATAACTTATATTTCTACATTTTAATGAAATTGCTATGATTTTCTGTCTCAACAGACACAAAAAGAGACGAGTCAATGTATAAAGTCATACACAAGTAGATTGCTTCAGGTTGCTACACATCACTGTAACATCCAAAGAACAAGAGGATAGAAAAAAAGTGATATTAAAGTAGACAATAGTGTATGGGAGGAGACAGTAGCAATGCATAAAGTTTATTGGAAAATTTCAAACATTGAAAAATGTAAAGGAGCGTATACATCTGAACCATTGCGATCGACTTCAAGTCATATCAACAAGAGTGTTCAACCACTGATTTGTATTATCTTATGAGCTTTAAGTATAGAGTATGCGCCTCCTTACACGACTCAGGCCGAGTCAAAGGCTTCACAGATTAGTACCACGTTAAACCTTCTCCAACCCAATCCTAGTTCGACTAGCGATGAACTTCGAGGTAGGGGTAGCTTAATATACGCAACATGTCCAAGACACCTTAGTCGATGAAAGTTCGAAACCTCATTGAGCGACTTGTCATTCTTACTTAGTACTCTTCGCTTAACCTCGATACTTCATATGGTGGTTCCACCATACATGAGCAATAGTACGAAGCCAACAGGTTATAATCTTTTCGTAAACTTCCAACGGCTCTGATAGTAAGATAATCGGACAGAGCGGACTACAGTGCAGGGGTAGGTAGGCAACGAAGATAACGCAAATTATGAAATGCTAAACATGTCAACTTGTTTGCGCCGAAGCAACTCTCCAACAGCTTCAACAATTGAGAAGCAAGTTACAGTTACAGTTCAGCTCAAAAATGCTAGGTTTCACAACTGTAGAGCAGAACTGATGAATTGTAAATTCGAACTTATACAACCAGGCTAACATTACAGAGATGCCAAAGGTTACTCAGATTGAAGTATGTCTCTCTGGCTTTCGATGAGAGGTGAGAAATCTAATTAATCACAACTCCATCATTACCCAAACAAATACCAGGGTGAACGAGGTTCTCCACTACTTTCAATTGTTCGCCTCCAACAGTAATTGCCGGCACAGTCTACCGCATTGTTATAAAAGCACTTTGCACTTCGAAAGTGTAGAGTAAATACCATGCGGATTAAGCATAAGGTTTTGCTGCCAAATATAACACAGAAGCTAATATTGCCAGTGTATTTTGCCCAACTTGCTATGAAATGCTTACTGGTGTAGAAATAAGGTGGAATATATTTCCCAAAGAGGATTACGCAAGTAAAACGTATCACGCGAATTCCAAAACATTTTGGCTACAATTCACTGAATAGCAACAAGTAATGAAATTACTCAAAATTGATTCCAGTAGCCTTAAGAATATTACGCTTTATTATTCTACCTGTACCTGTCTTTGTTACAAGTTCCCCAAAGTGCATCAAAATCAATTGAGAATAAATCTCAAATTTAAAAGCTTGTTATCTGCTTCGGTTTTCTACAATACCAGAGTTATCAAGATAATTGCTAGTGTTTGAGCTTGACCGACACTGAACATTTAACATCAGTGAGGTTAGGAGGACAAACGAGAGGAAAAGACATGCACGTATCGTGAGCATATATGGGACAAAATTCATCAAGTTACTAAGTATTTCCTGTAGCTTATGATGTTATTCTTCTATAGCGGATGAATTTCAAGAACAACTAGGATGGTAACAACCCCAATGGACAGTTGAGATAATGACTGTTTTATCTGCTTCGTAGCAAAAGCTAGCAGCGAACAAATGGGAAGGGATTAGCATTCACATATTAGGCAGACTAACCTATTTCAAGCATAAAAGAAACCTAATTACAATGTCATATTCCCTACAGAAAGTTGAATATCCGAAGGTGATTCATTTATATACTTGTGTATAACAGTAAAAAGCTGTTTTAGAAAATATCCAACTGGTTGAATGATCCTACCAAAATTCACCTAAACATTTGTGGGTCAGTATCACATGTATGAGCAAAAATACTATTATTTGTTACCAATTTCTAGCTTAATGACTATTCACTACTCTCCGAATAATACGGAGAAACAAGTATGTAGTCAAATCAACTTGAAGTAAATGAGACAAAAACAATTTTAATGACATATAAATAGAGTAATATCGTTGAATAGAGAGCATCCAGTCACCTTGGAAACGGTATTTATTTAGCTACATGCATAATATAGACAAGCAAATGTTTTTTATTATCCAGATTTCGAGATAAGCATACTATTTCAACTCTTGTTCATAAAAATACAATGTACACTTGCAGTTAACGTTGTTATTCTTTTTGTAAATTAACAGCTCTGTAATCTAGTCACTAAAGAAACTTCAAAGCACAAACAAAACATAAAAAACAAAAACGAACTTATTCCTTGCTTGAATCGGAGAGACGAAATGACACCAGTTGGTGAAAGCCTAAGGGAAGCCAACTGGCCAATGTATCTTCTCTTCTCTCGATTAAACCAAAAGTAAGAATGCGGATATGGAATGTCCACACTAGGTATGAACCTAGCTGATAAGGCTGCCCACATTGCTACAGAGATGAGAAGGTATACCTTAGAAGTCCTAGGAATCTGCGAGGAATCAGCAGATGGAATGGAAGTGGACTCTCAAACTCTTAACTGGAGAGTCAATAATTTACTCCAATATTGTCACCCACACGACAACCACGAACACAGCACACTCAGTTCCCAAGTGACTATCATGACATCCTCAAGATCATAGAAGGCTCTCTCCCATCCAGTGGGAACCAGTCTCCTCCTTCAGAATCACCATCATGACAGCAATATTCAACTCTAAACCAAGGGAAGTCACAATCATACAATGCTACGCTACGCACCCACAAATAATGCATGTCAAAAGAAGGAGGAACTTTACAGACAACTGTAATAAGTACTAAACAAGACTCCAGTTGGTGACATCAAAATTTTAATGGGCGACATGTCGGAACTATAAACGTCTCAATGGTAATTCCACTCAAGACAATTGAGTTCACGGATATCATTGTGATTGTAAATAAAGCCTATTGTAATCAGTGTCAAGAAGCCTTGCCTTCAAATAATTCATGCCAATTAGTAAAACCAATGTGAATAAAAATCATATACAGATTTGTGTGAGGTGAAGGGCCACCAATCTACCACACGAACGACAACCACAATCCAAACTGGTTTAAATCTCAGTAAATGAAACGGAATCAGACTGTATGAATCACTGTTTGAAATTTTAGAGTCAAATCTTATAAGGAACAGCCTTACACCAATATAGAGACATAATCAACACAATGAACTAAAGTCTATGCAAAATAAGCAACTTGATCAATCGATGATGAAACAAAATCAATCTATGTAAGAAGGTAAATTAAATGGTTATCTATGGCATTTTTTAAAACAGCCAGGAATGCAGCAAAACGAAGATAATTATCTAGTAGGTAGACACTTATTTGTATTAGGTGAACGAAACCTATTCATTAGCACAGACGACTCTTTCTAGTATTTATCAATGAAGGTATTTAATTTCTAATACAAAGCGATCATGCTACATCATAGAATTACACACTCAAAAGTTCTCGATAGACGGTGTATCATTTCGCTAGGAAGTTTAAAGAATGCACAATTTAGTGCGTGAACAAAGAAAATGAATTGTGCAACAATATCATTAAGTAATTAGTATTCTTCGGATAAAGTATTTTTACTGTTTCGAGGGCAACATAATTAAGATGTAAGCAATATAAATAGGTGGAATCGAAAAAAAACATGAAATTCGGAAAAAGAAATTATATATAGATGTTTAGAAAGGATACATAGACTATTATGGAGTCAGTGATTTAAACGACCACAGTTAAAAATAAGAAAGCGGAAGACTGTTTAATTGAGATAGGTAGAAGAAAGAAAAGTTGTTTACCTAACCTATTTCATGGGACTGAATGCACGAAGACAGTAAATGAAATTGGTTCATTATTCAACAATATCTTTGTTAACAATCATAGAACGAAAAAGTATGTTTAGTCATCAGCAAACAGGTGGTAAATTAAATATTGGAATGGATTTACATCTATACGTCAACATTTGTTCAATAATCTTCGAAAGACATTAACTACTGGACAAACAAGGAGTTAGCTTTATTTTTCAGAAATATGCATTTGTAAACCATCATCAAACTTTGAGTTCCCAGGATTGATATTCAATGAGTCTACTCTAATCTCAAATGATGAACTGAATTCTACTAACTGAAAATCAAAACAATATCCCGCTTGTATTGTATCATAATCATAATAAACAAATAAATATTTCATTCTCCTATTATGAATTTAACATGAGAGTAGCCAGTTTACAGGCGTCATCAAATTGACAATGGTTGAGAAATCAACATTTTAGTGTTCCTTAGTGGTACAGAAGGGAGGATATCAGGCTTTATCATAATATCAAAAGTGTTACAAGTTATGAAAAGAACAAGAGAATATAATTTTTCAGTACATACACGGTGTTAATGAGTTCAGATTATTTTCAGTCATTTTTTTCACTCATCAAGGTAGCTTCATATTCGATGTTTGAGTTACAGCTGACTAACATGTTTGGCCCATCTGTATGATTCGATGTTCCGTCAGACAAACGTCTGTTTTAACATCAATTCATATATTTATATAACTTCAATGACCAAAAAACTTACTTCAACGATTTCACAAGTCAGTAAGTGTCAATATAATCATGCAATCCAGGTGAATATCTGATTTCAAGCATTTCCCATTCGCGTTACCGTACACAGCATTATGGATTTATGCTACTTGAAATGGTTGTGGTGTTGGGAAAAAATAAACATTAGAAGAAGTGTCGTCCAGTGGCGATGGATTTTTACATACAATTCACATTGAAGTATGCAGTATTATCAAAACCACTCGAAGGGGGTAAAATCAAGTAATCTGTCTATAGCTGAAGCACTAGTCATCCAAAAGTTCAAACCAGCGTTATGAGTGCGAAAAAGGTACGTCCAACCTTTATCTTTGCCATGGCCATCATAAAGCCCTGTCTGGAACAGATTCATTTTGTATCAGGTAACTACACATGTATACCTCATTCATTTTTCTACTCTGTCATAGATTTAACCCGTATTACGTAATAACAATCCTATTTTCATAATCCCTTGTCTATTTTCCCACTCTAAACACAAATGTGTATGAATTAACTTCCTTTAGTTACTCAATATACTTTGCCCCCAGACCGGAAAAAATTCTGGAACATTATCAAAAGGTTTATTGGCTGTTATATGGAGTCGAATGAGATAAAGTAATAGAAAAATCTGTTGTGTAGCATCACAGAGAATATGCTGTCATTATAGTCACTGAACTTCAATCAGTGATTGCCATTAGGAAGTGTTTGAGTTGACCTTGACACACGCCACTTCTCATTAGCATTTCCTTTCCAATTTATTCGCAGAAGATTATATATTTTCGAGATGAAAATGTCAGTAATCAAAAGTGAACCCCCTGGTTCAATAACTAAGCTAATCTTAACATGAGAACAGTTTCGATTATCAAAACAAGATGACTAACAGATAAGTAATATACTCGAAATCGACCGCTACTGAATACTATGTTGACCGAAAAGTTACATGAAAAACTCTCATGCTAATCATAAGGCATATCATTGAAGGAAGTTAGTGCAGGACAACCTGTCCAATTCCTCTTAGTGGACTACGCTACAGACTATACAACTTTTAAGCAGACCAAGAATATCATCTGAATAAAGAACTGGACCACACGAGTTTACAGTCTCAACAGCAGTTAGGCAACTAAATGCAGGATCCAACTGTCAGGTAATGAAACATTCTTCTTATATATTTGTGACAGCTAATGCTACCACCTTGCTGCACAGATTTAGAAGTCACACTCGTGACTAGATAGCGGAAAGTCAAGTATCTAAATAGCTGCATCACAAGTTTACGCAAAAATCAGTCATACTACTATGTTCAAAGAAAACAGTGATACGAAGCAGAAAGTAAGACAGAATGAGTTGAAATGGATATAATCAGTTCATGGATGTCACACTTGAACGATGAGAGATTATTCAACATGTGCCTTTTTTTAAATACAACATATTACTGCATACACAAACAGCTTCCAGTTCTTCACAATACACTTACAATGTACATGCGATAAATCCTGTTATATGACAGATGACAAAATGTAAAACCTGGTATAGTAGAACAATGGCTCATATCACTACGTATCGAAACGGTATAAATCAAGAAATTGAAAAAAATGAGAGAAAAAAGGCAGACAAATGACATAGAGTTTCTAAAATAATCAAAGCACACAACAGTCAAACAGAAACTGAACTTACAACTTTAATAATGACCTCTGTTGGAGTCCGGGTGGTGAATACATAACCAAGCGTGCGCGCAGCTTTGACCAGAGCTGCTTCATCTGTAATCATAAAAATAAAAAATATCACGAACCATTAACAGATTATTCATAGTTCGATGACGTATATTCCAAACCTAAAATGGTTATGAAATGAATTTGTTTTGATTAGTCTTATGAGCAATATCCAACAAACGTGATTTAAATGACAGTCTTTCAGACTGTAAGATATTGAAACGAGAATGGATGAAACAGAAAAAAAACCTCGATTATAAGTTAAAGTTTAACCAGTCAGCTTATAGTTGTGATCGATGTTAATACAACTTCAGTACAAAATTCAAGCTAGTGGAGGAGATATGACAATTTCACTGTTGTATTGAAAAACAGAACCACAAGATGCTTCAAAGTTACTCGGTAAATTGCACTTAACACTACGTGCATAGCATAGAGATCAAATTTAGTCACAAGGTCAGTTTAATAGCTCAACTAAGAGAGAACATTTGATGAAAATGAAGAGGTTGTCATCTTACATGATGGCACAGAGCAACATTAAATAGAAACCTTTCACTTACAACATACATATCTCACTGAAGTATGATGAACCAATGATGAACTGATATGAATGAGGTTGAACCCATCACATACGTCATAAAAATCATTACTGAAAACACAATAGCAGATTGACCAAAAAAAAACTTAAAAAAGCTTCGACAAACAATGGCCGAATATAGCAGTAAGGTGTTCACTTATATAATCATACAGTATGATTGTGCGCTTCGGTTAACTCAAAGGTTGTGGCAGATGGCCATGAACAGAATTAAAAACCCAAAGACCAAAAACATGTAGCAACTTTAGCATATGCAGAATCCGAGGTGTGAGATAACTTGTTAATGAACACTGTCAAAGCTTTGAACATGGTTAAGTAAATAACAAAACAGGTTATCGAAGAGAAATCATGTAAATGATTGCCGGTTTCAGTTGTATGGATACATTTATAAGTTTTGAAGATAGAGATCTTAAGACAGATATAATCCTGAAGTATAGCAATTCGATATCTATCTCTGTGTAGTGCATCTGACATTTCAGTTAGTTTTAAAACATTAAATATAAAAAAGGCAAACATAAAAGATATTTTCAGAGCATTACCTCCTTTTCGAGTAAATACTCTTATTTTCCCTCTCGGTTACCTGCTTTGTTATCTCCTTAAAGTTGAGAAAGCTGTGTCGAACCTGAAACGAGGCAAAGCCGTAGAACCTGACAGTGTGCCACCCAACGTTTCCAAGAGTGGAGGTAGGAAATTGTTGCTTAAAGTGACTGACAAAGGTACTAACGAGTGTATGCGAATCAGAGGTAGAGATGTCAGACTGGTCTGCTGCACTGATCTGATCATTGCAGTCCACAAGAAGGGAGAGAAGTCTTCATGTGACAACCATGGGGGAATTAGTTTGACAAATATTGTGTCGAAGATCCTAGACTCCATACTGATCCGACGCCTACCTGGAGTTTGACAATAGCAAACTCACACAAGTTTGTTTACTTTGATATTATTCTTTTTCCATAAACCTGTTCTTTGCATACTACTGTGAAGTGCAGAAATCTGAACTGACGCACTTGTCTGTAAGGTTCTACGTTGATTTTGTCTGTTTGATGATAAGTTAGAAGAACGTAGCATTACTCTACTGAAGAATGCTGCCTTTCTGAGAAAAGTAATTTAAAGTTCAGTCAAGCTAGAAACTGAGAAGGCGTTAATCCGATTATGAAAGTTCGCCTATAAAAACTGAAACCTTATGATCAAACGAGACTGTAGTTGATTGGGATCTAAAGATGTTAAAGCATCTCAGACTACAACTCGGAACTGTATCATGCGAATATCAGATAAAGGATTATGGTGTTGAAGCCATGGCTAGTAGGTTTCACTTTGGGAGAAAATTGTACATATATATATATATATATATATATATATATATATATATATATATATATATATATATATATATATATAATTTCGTGTTCTATAAACCACACTTATAGGATAACAACCTGATGTTACCATCCAAATGATGATACAAGGCTAAGTGGAACACGGTTTATATTGGTAGTCCGACCGTCTAGTTTCCAGGAAGAAACAAGAGGGAACTCAATTTCATTGCAATAAGCATTTCGATATGATAGTTCGGGATACCAATCGAATGTATATTCATTACATAGGAATCAGCACAATGACACTAAAAAGCTGAGTATTTCATAAGACTATGAATGTACAAAGCTTGAGAGAGACTAATTAACCACAGAAAATAAGCATTACTTACCTGGTGATGACGCTTGATAAGAAATGTATTGTTCCCCAGTTGCGTTACTATCACTGGTACCAGATACCGTAGCATTATTATTATTATTATTACTGTTACTTCTGGTTAGTTGACGTTCTGGTACAACAGTATGGCATACAGCTAATATTTTGAAAAACTGATCAACCAAAGAATCGCCACTTTTCAATTTGTCAATTAACTTTTGATCTTCTAAAGCATTAGAATCTTCTGTATCATTTCTAAAGGAAAAACATGAAGGGAGATAAATAGATTGTTCAGTCAGGTGAAATGTACAGAGATCATCTGTTAGCAAGAAGTTTTCAACTATTTTCAGATATAAAACCACCGAAAGCAGATTAGGAAACACTCTAGAGGATCACCTAGCAGTTCCGCAATCGTTAACAGTGGATCCATTTCATCTAATAAAAATAAGGACTTGGAAATGACAAGTCACAAAATTAATTTATGTTACTTCAGACAGAAAACAAACAGCAGTTTTGCAATAACACCTTTATTACCATCTAACACATTGAGACTCAGGAAAACTATAGTGAGTTCCTTTGTTGTCTGAAGTTATATAACTATTACAATACAAATAGTAGAATATCAACAAACCAACATGGTCCATCATAACTGAAAAAACTTTAGGAAAGAATTTTCTTCAGTTGGAATAAGAGCTCAGGATGTAAAAGACGTAAGAAGTCAACAATCAGAACAAAGTCACAGTCATGACAGATGAGGACAGACAAGTTACATCTTAAAATAGTCAGAAGTTGTAAATTAAAAGAGTGAAGACAAGCCGAGAGTTAACCAGCACCATATGATCTAAAATTACAGTGTTCATCTCCCAAGTTATACTCACAATAAAAACTTATCAGAACTTTCAGCCGAAATTACCCGGCCGATAGCTGTTACCTTCACGTGGATATAAGGCTTACACACCACAAGGATACAACGACCTACAGTGACTGGTACACTTTTTCCATCAAGATCCTACTACAGCAGAAAACTCTGCTGGATAGCGGTTATCATTGAATTTTACATTACCACACCATGATAGAGGAAAGAGGGCGAAGTCAAGTTGAACACAGGATGAGGTCAGACGGGATGATAGTGTTTTCCTCGAAACACAAGCATTGACACACTGATGCTAACTCCACAAATAACAGTATTTCAAAACGTCAGCACGAAAAAAGGTACGCTACACCTGCCGCAGACATTCAGATATCAGCAGGAGCAGTTGCCGCGAGAAGCGAAACTAAAAACAAACGTCAAAATTACAAATCACAAAACGTCTTCTACGACAACGACCCCCTGCAAAAATAAAACGAAAAACCTAGCACACAGAACATCGGCTGAACTTTAAAAGCTCCAAAATAATAAGAAAACGTCAGGTAACTAAAACACGAGCGTTAGAAAAGCAGATAAAGCGGCAAAAGAGACTAAACAACTGGATTAAAACGGCTACAGGAACAACACAAGCTTCAGATGTCAGGAAGACAGTACATTTGCGATACTCTGACCAATCTTAAGCCATATCACTAAGGATTTTCAACCACTAAATCCTATCATTATAAGGACCCCAGATGGTGAGTCCACACCTCCCCACACGACTCAGACCAACAGTTAGGGACCTCATCAACTAGAGCCACGTCTTGATCTAGCCACGATGAACCCTCTTCTAACCTAAGCCAATATTCTCTAGCATCGCACGTCGAAGTAGGTAGTGGCTAGGCATCCATAAATGTCCAAGCCATCTCAGTCGACCGAGCTTAACAACCTTATCAATACATTTGCCTCTCTTGTCTGCTACCCTACTACCCTTTGCTCAAACAGTGATCCCATCAAATGCGAGCAATCCTACGAAGACACTGTGATCATAACGCTGTAACTGCTTCATATCTCCCACTTTTAACGGAAAATGTTATAAAGCTACATAACAGGACACAACCGACTATAGTGCAGTGTACTCATCCTTTGACTGGTAGTCGATTATCTCGCCAGTCAGCGCCAAAGTGTCACGCAAGTTGGCAAACACCAAACAGCGCTTCTCTATTCCAGCTGAGATTTCGTCATGTTATGACCGTCAGTACGACCTAACATCCCACAAGCGGTACGATCCCAGCCGACTTCAAACGATACGAACCTATTGCACAACGAATCGTTTCTAACACAAATCAGAACGTCAACCACCACAACAGAAATACCACCGACGCGCGAAGACAAGAAAAGATAGACCGTTGATAGACAGCTTCTCACTGTCTCAACAACAGTCAATACAGTTGACAGCGATGATGAATATATACATATTTCAATGACCTTAACAACACTAAATCCACATATAGGGAGAAATAGTAAACGGCGGGGTTGTGGGTGCGCACCGCTGAGGAGTCCTATACTAGGACGAAACGGCTGTCCAGTGCTCCCAGGTTTCGTTTGTTCTTACAACTGATGTCAGTCTACGAGGAATTAATTTGTTTATTTGTTATCGCTATAAATACGATTGTATAGCTGGTTAAAATGATTCGTCGAAAAGAAAATTTTCTTCGTTGAATTACTTTGCATTTTTGAATCTAGGATGATGACAGCATGTTTGAAGTCCATGGGGAATGTTCATCTCATTTGCGAACCAGTATCTGAATGTCTATAAGTAACAATCAAAAAAATATCTCATATTGAAAGTGTAGAACCTAAAACTTCAGACGGCTGCTACTTAAACCTAAAGAGCTATAAAGAATGTACAAAGATTTATTTGTCGATCTACTGGGATAAAACTAGGTGAAGCTTAAAATTTATGCATTCCATTCCATAAAATGTCATAAACGAAAAAAAGGATAGAATAAAAGAAAGATATACCTACCCATACATCACGCCACCTATCGAACATCGTTTGAAATCCATAACGTTCCGAGTTAATGTCCCAGTTTTATCAGAGAATAAGTAACGAACCTATGAGCAATTATGGCAAGAGATAGTCAAGAAAATTCAGCACATCTTGTTATGACTATATGTACATGTGCACACAATTTATATCTAAATGTGATCGTACGGCTTCTTAGAACAATATCTGGTAAAACAAATTTGCTCGCTGGAGTCCTCCTTTTGTTATTCAACAGGAATATTCAATTCTTGTTATTTAGCCCCATAGAAATGATCGCAGTAGTGAATACGCATTAAGAATATGAGAAATTGGCTTCTCATTGAAAATCAACTAAATATGATGTCAAGATTAGTATCGAAAGCACTTCCAAAGAAAATTTGAGTGAGAACAACAATTAGAATTTGCCTTCAATACTTACTAATATAGTAGATATATGTTGCTGTTAGAATTCGTTTTAACTTTCTACTTTTTTAAAAAGATAACTGACAAATTAATCAAACTTTTGTACACAGTAACAGTGATTGAGAACGGTTACTGTTGCCTGATGAAGTCATATTGCTTAGGTTATCCATATTCCATGTTTTGAAGTAAGACTTTCTATGAATCACTACAGTTATTTATTACACTACGCCCTCTTCTCGGATAATAATGTACACCAGATACTTTACTAACACTATTAACTTCTCCAGAAAACTTGTTTAGAGTAATCACAAGGAAATAGCTTTTATTAGTTACATTATACGACTAACAGAATTTGATCTATCTTTCAAACAAATTATGCATATTACCATGTAGTTGATAGTGTTCAGACGATAGCATTTACGTCAAAATAATGAAGTAATTAAGTTTAAAAATATTAGTGAACACATTAATAATGCAAAATATAGCTTATGAACAATATACACATTCATACACTAGGATATTAGCCGAATATCCAGTGTAATGTAAATGTAATGAAACTCAATACGGTAGAGATGTTTACTTAATCAGTTATCAACTAAATTTATTGTGTAAGAAATAATGAAACTAACTGGTTGCCAAGATCAAAACAAGTGGAGCGAAATTCGAGATTTGGAAAGCGAAAGTAGGGTTAGTAAAATGTTTAAGAGGACCAAAACATTTACTAGTAAGACAGAAAATTAGAGAAAAAAATTAGACACAAAGGATACCTTATCCTTCATAATTGTCCTAGTTGATACATTGATACATTTATAGAAAATCCTAGGAAAAATACAACAGCTAGTAGTAATACAAATGTTCATAATAAGAATAATGGCAACACTGTGAAGAGGGAATTCAAAAACCCTAGTGTTACCATAAAACGAAGGCACCTTAAAAGACTACGTAGGATTCGCAATAAGACTGAATTAGAGTAGTGCTTAAGCCCATTTAAAAATCAGCTTTTTAGGTTAAAGGATCCCGCTGGCTGAACTAGACAAAATAATTTGCTTTACCAGATCCTTTGCAACGAGGTTAAATACATCGGTCACAGTAGTTGACTGAGTTTTACCAGACTTCCAAAGCACAGAAAAGTAGCTGAATCAAGATTCACAGACCCTAGAAAGATATGGAGTCTAGGTAGAAAGCTGTTATAAGTAAGCACGTAATTACACCCAATAGGATAGAACAGAGTGATAATCCTGAAAATCAACTTGGATGGAGGGAGAGATTGCCAACTGAAACTTTATTTATTGGATCGACACCAATTGGGCGCAACAGGAGTGACGCATTAAATGTTTCAGATATATGGAAAATTCTGCTACCTATATCACAAAGAAGGAGAGAGAATTAGAACTACATAAGCTATATCTCAAAGTTCTGAAGGCACGTTGACTAGACTATCGACATTAAAATGTACCTGAAACGTTAACCTCTAAATGAAACTGTTTCTCTGTGTGATACATCTTACAAAATGGAATTACAATCAACCATAGTACAAATTTCTCTTTTATTATCTTTTCAGATATTTGATATACTCAAGAATCCAGGCCTACGTCATACATTACATGAGAACCTAAAAAAGTCTGAATCTGAGCTGAGATGGATTAGTTATACTAATAATACGCACAATCTCTTACCGATAGTTATTTGCTTCAGAAAGTTGACAAATATCAAGCATTTAAACACAGTCATCAAGTTTTATATCGAGAAAATCATTCATCAATAAAGTATTACAAATAAGACGAATTAAAAAACCGTACTACAATTTGAAGACTACTTAAAACAGTTATGGACACTATACAACAGTAAAATCATTTGAAAGAATTCACAATGCACAAATTAGAAGGAGAGTAACACGTAAAACGAGATGACAAGGAATTGAAAAAATATCAATAGACTGAAAAGATTGTTTGGAAATGTGGCATGCGCTACTAACCCCCGCCTTCTAACTACCAATCTATGAACAAACTCAGTGTTAAGTGGAACAGGAGTATATCAAAAAAGTTCTGGAATTATCATGCTAAGACGTGAAACATTAATTCATAGACGTCTTGGATACTAATCGACGAGGAATGGTGAGGCTGCAGTTAGTCAATATCAATATAGAACTGAACATTACTGAATATCAGTTTACGTTGTTAAACCTCATCAGTATACCTAGGGAGAAGGCATCAAAATGAAAGAGAAAAAAGGAACGAAGTAATTCGCACCACGACCCAGCCACTTCATTCGATGAAAGTTAAGGGACAGTGTGGGCATCCTGAAAGCGATCAAAAAGAACCTGATGGTTGAAAACATCAAGTGTTGACAGTCTAGCACATGCATCCATGCTTTGTCTTTATCAAGATTATGAACGACCTTCTACTACATACCTTTTATTCTTTTGCTGTCTTTTAACCTTTTATTATTATTGTTATCACCACTTTGTTTTTGTTTTGCTGTGTAACAACGAGAATTAATACAATTTGTAAGATCCATAAGACGTTTTCTATTTGTCTGTCCAAAAAGATCCAAAACATCGATAGGAAATAAACGAATTCACTTTCAATGAAGGCAAGATATTCGAAACGTATGAATTTAGTAAATGGATTAGATTCCCAATATTGCGAAAAAGGTTACTAGGAATAATCGATTCATTAAAAATAGAGATTAATAGAAGATGATAAAACTTTTATGATCGAATACTAGACCTGAGAGGACACTAGATAACTGTCACTTGAATTCACACCTATTGTATGTAGGCTAATAACACGGCATAACCAAGCCATGAGAGATGGACAGTGGTTCAAACGCATGACCCAGCTGTTGAAAATCAACTAAATCATGACCGATGATCCCTTCAATAACCAAGTACTACATACTCGAGGCAAAAAGTACAGAACAGGAATCACTGTTCACAAGCGTGTCAACGGTAATGCAAACTTTACTTTAAATGATTATCAAAAAATAATACAACAAGAACACATACTTGACCCAATTCTTCATTTAGATTAGAAGTACGCGCCATTGCTGGTGTATCCGACTCAGGATCATACATATCTAAATCCTATGGAATTAAACAAAACAAAGGAATCGTTGACAATCCATGGTCACTTCAAAATATAAAAAAAATTTACACCTATGCAAATGAGTGCGTGTCAAGACAAGTACAACTTTAAAGAGTAAACAGTTATGAAACATGCATAAGCAACCTGCTGAAGGTGAGAAACAAAAACTAAGCTAGCTGGGACGTACAAGCGAAGTACGCTATTACTAAGTATTTTTGAAAAGAAAGACACCACCATAAGTTCATTTGATATGCTAAAATTTTGAATATTTTGTCTATCTCGGCCCAGTCTATAAAATCTAGTTCATTTCATTGATATATCCGCGAAATATTATTCAAGAAGTTAACAAAATCCAGTAACAAGCGGTCAATTGTGAGAGTGATTGGAACCGCACAATCCAATCAGATAACCTTCAACAGGAAACTAGTTCACTAGTTATTAGCCAGTCCTAAACCCAAAAAAAGGGAAGGTTGGGCATACCGCTAACAACCCTACCCCGTAAAGCAAATCCAACCACTAAAAAAAACTTCAAAGCACAAAGAAATATAAAAAAATAAAAACAAACTTGTTCCTCGCTGAAAACTCTCAATGGAGAGTCAATAATTTACTCCAATATCGTCACCCACACGACAACCACGAACACAGCACACTCACTTTCCGAGTGACTATCATGACGTCCTCAAGATCATAGAAGGCTCTCTCCCATGCAGTGGGAACCAGTCTCCTCCTTCAGAATCAGCATCATGACAGCAATATTCAACTCTAAACCAAGGGAAGTTCACAATCATACAATGCTACGCTATGCACCCACAAATAATACAGATGAAGAGAAGAAGAAGGAATTCTACAGACAACTGTAAGAAGTACTAGACAAGACTCCACTTGGTGACATCAAAATTCTAATGGGTGACATGAATGCAAAACTGGGAGCGGATAACACAGGAAGAGAACTCATCATGGGTTGAGAAGCCCAAGGTAAAATGAATGAGAATGGAGTACTGTTTGCAGATTTCCGAGCATTCAACGATTTGGTGATTGGAGGCGAGTCAGTGTGTATAAACACAAGGCAGCAACAGGGATTTCAGTTCACCAAACACCAGAACACACTACACCAAAAATCAGATCTACTTCTTCTCAATCTCAAGAAAGTCGAGACACAGTCTACTACACACAACATCAAGAAGAGGAACAGATCAATATTCACACCACCCACTATCTACTGCAAGGAACCCAACTTCAAAATCAAGTTGCAAGCCATCAAAGAAGATGGTGATAGACGACCACACTTCAAGTTCTACACCCAGAACTCAAATTAGACTCAAGGACAAAACGACATGCGACATCTTCACCTCAGTCATTAGGAAAAAATATGGGAGACACTAAGCAACATTCTGAAGAAATCTGCGAAGAACAACACTGGAACTCTGTGAAAGCAGCGTCGACCGACAAGTCATTTCGCAGGCAGCTCCTTCAACACTACGCTTTAAAGAAACAATCTTTTATCAATCTCATTCAACGGCACCCATATGCTTTATGATGCTACATGTCAAGTGATTCACAATGGAAAGCTCAGCTTACTGATGCCTTTGAAGTAAAGACTAGAAGGAGTAAGACAAGGTTACCTACTACCACCGATCATCTTCCTGATTATAGTCGACTCAATTCGACTGGATCATGCAACAGACAGCTGTGAGCAGCGACAAGAGGAGCATACGCTGTTTGACCGATGAAAACACCCCAGAAGAAGATTTCGATTTCACCACCGATAATGATTTATGTCTAATGTCTTGTACCACAAACTCGAAGATCTACAGGCGACAACTAACAAGTCGACAGAAGAGGAAGGGCAGCGAAGACAAGACTTCTTTCACGTGAACGTGAGAAGATAGAGGTGATGAAGATACCCAACCAACAACAGCATCAACAACAAGCACCAATCACCACCAATGAGAGAAACTCAAAGGAAGTAGTCTCTTTCACCCACCTAGGCAGGCAGCATAGTTTCAACTATTGGCGGTGGCACAGATGACGACGTCAAAACAAACCAGGATCGGAAAGACAGCAAGACACGCCTCCCTTCATTAATCCGAAATCAGTGTGGACATCTACTGCACTGCACTCAGCATAGAGAACAAGATCCGAATTTTCAACACCAATGTCAAGTCAGTGCCTCCATGTGATGGTTCAGAAACTTGGCGCGTTACGAAAAGCGTTTCAAATGAACTACAAACATACATCAACAGCTGCCTACGTTCGATACTAAAGATCAGATGGCCAGAATAATAAGAATAAGTAACAAGGAACTCCGGCTGACTGGAAACGAACCAACAAATATGCAGAAGTGGGTGGAGCTGGATTGGATTGGACATACAGTGAGAACGGCGTTTGGGGACATCACGCGACAGGCTAGTTCCGCGAATGGAACCAGAAGGGGAAACGACGAGTTGGGCGTCTGAGCGAGGGAGGCTAAACATGCATACATGTTCACTGGTTGTTGTCAATTCACATAACAACTCTTCATAAGCCGTTACACAGCTGCGTAAATTCCAGTACAGAGCTTTGATTAGCGCTATATACTGGCTCACTACTACCGTCACAGTCAGGGGCTGGACTGTCACATCACTTGATGGTCGACAGAGTCATTGCCACCTACAGATAGAGAAATGTGGCAAGTGTGAGCCTCAGGTAGGTGGTATGCCTGTGTTGTAGAACGAGTGAGAAGGTAAAAATGTCGTCGATACACCTTTGTCTATGTATGATACCTGTCTGGTTTTCACTGGGTTTCGCTGCTCTCGAGCTCCAGTCAGGCGTCGGATCAGTATGGAGTCTAGGATCTTCGACACAATATTTGTCAAACTAATTCCCCCATGGTTGTCACATGAAGACTTCTCTCCCTTCTTGTGGACTGCAATGATCAGATCAGTGCAGCAGACCAGTCTGACATCTCTACCTCTGATTCGCATACACTCGTTAGTACCTTTGTCAGTCACTTTAAGCAACAATTTCCTACCTCCACTCTTGGAAACGTTGGGTGGCACACTGTCAGGTTCTACGGCTTTGCCTCGTTTCAGGTTCGACACAGCTTTCTCAACTTTAAGGAGATAACAAAGCAGGTAAGCGCGAAAGAAAACAATAATCCAATCGCTTTTTAATATTGGCTACATTCTCTACCTAATAAAATACCCGTTTTTTATTGGTATCTTCACTGTGAGAAAACGTTAAAATATGAAGCTGAATGTCATGATCAAAATATATACTGAAATAAAAACCCAGTATGAATATCGACACATCAGACTGTGATTATCACTGCATGCAATGCTTTATGACGTAATGTTCAGGATAAATCTGGGCATGGGTCCTTCAAATGATTTCAAGTTACCATGGAAAGTATTATATCTGTTTGAGGTTGAGAAAGATACAAAGTACTAGATTGTTGATATTGTCAACATCTTCAGTCGAGTATTATTGAAGTAATCGAATCCAACAGAGCCACACACAGACAACGATAATAAAAAACAACATTGAAGTTGGGTGCCTACTTTTGTAGTACATTACAATTTACAGTTAATATTTTGGTGTTCATGTTGCTAACTGACTGTGCACGTTAGGTTAGATGGGGTTTCAAAGCTGCACTTGAAAGTGTAGAGCCTAGGGTCTATGAGCAACATTTTTAGAATAACAACAGAACGCAGAAGGATAAACAATCTCCAGATTATTTTATTATGGAACACTGGTACAGCTGAAGACAGTAGCTACTACAGGTTGGTATCAGGTAGATAACTACTACAAAATGATCCTATTACTGAGCTTTAGTCTTGTCTGAACCTTTAAGTAAGTTATTTAAGAAGTCAGGGGAAAGTACCCGACTCTTGAACCGTCAATACAAGTCATTGTTATTGAAGCTTTAGTTAGAAAAGGTCATCATTAATGGTTTCGTCGGGTTAATGTTTGCCAAATAGATGACAAGTCTATTCCTTCTTTTCTGTTTATAACATTTGATGTTGTTAAAGTATGCAGGGCTTCGGAAGTAAGTCTTTCTTTATGCGAATGGAAAACTTTCACAATATGTATATACAACATACATAAACAGAAACACACAATTTGACTATCCTACATTTTCGTTGACAAATGAAAATAAGTGTGAACTTGCAATGACCAATCTTAATTACTTAGGCTGAACAGAAGAAATCACTTAATCAATGACCTGCATTCACTAAATGTTTGACGTATCATTTAATTACATGTTTTGATGTTAATAAAAATCCAGATTTTCTGCTGCAGAAGCCGCGGCTTACACAACAAAACGTTCAGAAATATCTTGTTTTCGATTTTCTAAATACACTGGGATTATATTTAAATGAACTAGTACATCATTTGTTTCTTGTTGTATAGTTAGCGTGTATGTGTTACTATTCCTTAATCGCATACACGAGACAAAAAGGTCATAGGTGACGGAACCAAGGCTCTACAAAAAAAGGTTCTGGGTCATACCAATGCAGAATTTGACACAGAAGTGAATCACTTCAAGCTACCACACTTTACAGCAGGATTCAGAGAGGAGGATACAAAAAGAATGACATTTAATAAGTAAACAAAAAGTGTAGGACAGCAGAGAGCGTGAATAGATGAAGTCCATAAAAATGCGTAAAACGTCGCAGAGTGAATACATCTGCGTCAATCACCGATTTTCAATATCTTTAGGATATCAATGGGGTAACCCATATCTCCCAACACGGCTCAGACCAATAGTCAAGAACTGGTGCCAAGTCTTGGTCTAACCACCGTCAGTTTTCTCCCAACCTAGTCCTACTTCGGCTAGTCTCGTGCATCAGAGTTAACTAGACATGGGTAACAAATGTCCCAACCTATTTAAACTTACTGATTGAATTGCCTTCCTTACCTAGTATTCCAAGTTTAACGTCAGCTTTACCAAAAAGGTGATTCGAACTTGTGCGAGTAACACTACAAAGACTGCTGTGGCCGAAAACCTGTAACTTATCCATATGTTCTACTTTTAACAGCCATGCCTTACAGTCGTATAATAGGACAAAGAGAACTGCTATGAATTATATCTGACGCATAGTCGGTCATCTAACAAAAAGGAGTAAGTTCATAGATGTTGAATGGACCTTTGTATCTAGGGCGAAACTTCGTCAGAACCTAACTCGTTAGAGGTGATGCAACTCCTTGAGTAAGTGAAGTGATTAGAGAAGAGCCAGTTCAGATAAGTCATGAAGCATTATCTTACACCTGGAACGTGAAAAACGCATGCCAGGCACATTCAGATTTTCCTCACTAAAATTATACACCTGTCAGGAGCACTCTTTTAATTCCACTGTAAAATTTACAAAATTTGTATTGCATTCATAGGCATGAAAACACTAAATGCATTCAGTTAGTCAATAATTATTTTGAACGCATAGCAATAAGTACTCAGTTTTCTCTTCTGCACGTTAATTGAGTTGAAATCAACGCATGCAGAAGAGGGTAAATTAGTTAAAAATTGTAGTCGTTTATATGAAATTTATGTATTGATTGTGTAAAAGTTCAGGATAAAAAAAACTATCACGTGTTACCACCTATTTATGAGGTTCTTGAGGTATGAGGACAAACAAAACAACTAATGAAATGCACTTCATGGACAATCAACATAGCTAACAAAAAAGCGAGTTATGCGATACATCTAACACTTACACGGTGTATCAATCTACCTTCTGATGAACGGTAACATGCATTTTATTTCCTTCCTAGGTGGGTATTAGAGAGTATCAACCGATATACCTCTTACTATAGTTCATACAACTTCAGAAAAAGCTTTATTCTCAATTAGAGAATTTGAGATGTAACGACTGAATCAAACGTCCTATGGATTTTCATTTAAACTTCGTATAATAATAAAACAGGTGATTAAGAACAAATAATCCATTAGCTTTCATTGAATCACTATGTTCTGGTAAGCAAATGAATACAATGTATCTACTGTGATGAGACCATTACATCACTCCCAGGGCAAACATACCCATACGACTACACTACTATGAACAAAAAATGAAAACACTTACCTGTCATTTTATTGAACTACTTTCAGACTAAAAATTTCCCATGCTCTACACAATTAAATAAGAGGTCTAGACACAAAAGTTATAAGTTTGATAGTGAGTAAAATAGTTGAAGTATTGAAACTAGTTTGTCGAGTACTTAGTCTTCATCTAACATTATTCAGCAGTTAGTATCTGTAATGCGGAACAAACTAAACAACACTATGTGACTTGAAATTGTAGTTGTCCGAACTATGAGTGTCAGTTAAGCAGAACACAAAAAGATAGGAAATTTCCATTTTGTAAAAAGCCTAAAAACTGATATTATTTGACCTGTAGTAGCCAACATTACAATCAAGGACACATGTTTTACCTTATTTGGCAGGCGCCAGTTAAAAGTACTTGTATTATCGGTGAGCTCCAAACTATCCGCTGAACAGCAAAACAAAAACATATAGATCAAAACCTCACAGCGTTAATCACTAGGCTACTGAAAGCCATCGCTTGTGTAACGTGCAGAAAAGCTAACTTAGAACCTGACACATAAGTACGTCGATTCTACTTACCACTTCACAGTGCGCATGCAAAGAAAAGGTGGACAGAAAATAAATAACATGAAAGTAGACAAGTATATATGAGAGAGAATAAATATATGAAGGTTAATGAAAATATCAAAGAATTCATAGATGATACAGTGTATACATCTGTGTCATTGTGACCGATTTTGAGGTACCTCACAAAATGTCTCCAACCATTGATTTCTAACATTTTGAGGACCTCAGTGTTACCGAATTTACTTTATGTTGTCCAACAAAGTCGGACAAACTAGAAAAAGAATTTTCAGGAAGAAAATCTGTGCCTAACAAAGACGACAAAAAACAACAGTTACGTACACGTCCTAATAACAGTGCTTGAAATAATCGTACAACTTCTAAGCTAACTTGCAAACTAATCGGTACCATTGTATGATACATAATAAATGATGTAATCAACATGTTAACAGCATAACGAAGTGTTATTCCGTCTTCATTTTCCGGTAGAATAACACACACGCACGTGATTTATCAGTGAATTTTGTTCAACAAACGTATCAGGACATGGCAGCAGCATTTATGCACAGATAAACGGTTGCGTGCATATTTGATAAAAGAAAAATCGATGTTATCGATGTCGTCGAGACCGCCACCATCACAGATGCGAAAATGAGTGAAAATAGGAAAGCATAAAAATTGTGGAGGGAAGATATGAAAATATAGATAAACGCATATATAAAGATAGGCATACACCACACCAAACACGCAAGCACAAACGCACACAGACATATACAAAGCCCACGAATTGCCAGATAGGCGAACAAAGGAGTAAACATAGAAGAAAATGAGAGGTGAATTACGATTCAGCCGGCAAAGGAATAAATCCAAGCAATAGTCAAAAAGGTAAATAAAAATGTGTATTTATAAAACGCAAAAAATCATAGATTTTAATATTTTGAAAAGTAAACAGAAAGCAGACAAACCACAACAACAATATAACAATATCATCATAAGCAACAACAGTAGCATTATCAATAATGATCCCGATATATACATATGTGCAACAATGGCCACATAGTGGTACACACGGTATAATCATCAACAGACGTAGGCGAGAAGATTGGCAATCAATGGGTATAGCAAGAAAGAAAGAAACAGAAGGAAAAGATGAAAGAGAATTAGCAAGCCTGCAAAATGAGTAGCAATGAAATTTAAAACAGCAAAACAGTATATCTCCCCAGTGTGCAAAAAACACCCTAGATACTTACCCAATTGATATACAATGCTTGAAAGAATCGCACAACTTCAAGCATAACAGGAAGACTGATTGGTATGATGGTATTATACAAAATCAGGCATGTGATAAAATCCAGTAAACGACGAACAGCAGTTTTAGTGCCCGCTACAAATTAAATACATAGTTTAAACACAGAAAAAAAGGTAGATGGCTAGTCGGGAATGCACTCAGTCACATATTAGGTTAAATAAGATCTTCTTGTGGAATATGCAGTGAAGTGTGAATTGACAACTACTTACAGCTACGTGAACTAAACCCTGAAACATACATATTGTGTTAGGATTTGTGATACGACCTAGCGACACTAACGACGGTAGTTGCAGAAAGGTTCGAACCTATTAGCTTCTTGTTAGAATGAGGAATGTCTAAGCCGATAGATTACATTTCTACTTGTGGCATACTTACGTCAAACTGCTGCCGTATTTTCGACATTAATATAAAGCAATAATGAGGGTATCTGAAAGTGTGCTGCGTCACTGTCACATAGAAACGATATGTTCGCAATAAGCGTTCAGCTTTCTTCGTGGTACACTTTTAACAACATAGTTTGCAACGACACGATTGTTCACTCAATACCAGAAATTGTCAGATAAGGATTCTTTTTGGAGCAACTGATGATCCAGATGTCGAATGCTGGGAGATTTATAAGCAGAACAGATACTGTGCCACCTTTCTATTAACCGAGATCACAGTTAAGATGGTAATACAACTTCGTAGGAAGGTATGCAAAAACACTGGTAGTTTGTTCAGGTGAGCAAATGAGTTGAAAAGTTTAAGGGTATGAAAATATACTTAAAAAAGGAAATTCCAGTACCCTTAAAGTGACGAAAAGTTATTGATTCTGAGTATGAAGTGACCACAACATGAATATGCAAATAGCGCATCGACCTTTACAAGAATTTCTGCAATTATAAGAAATGGTTATTTACAAACAGCACCTCACGCATATCAGCACTACTTTCGGTAAGAACAGCGTGAAATCTTTACAAAGTTCACTGAGTGAAGACATTTACGACACAATGATTTAGTCACAGATGCGTTGATCTGTTCAAACAGAGGCACAAGAAACTCAAGGGTGACGTAAACATTTTGCTACACGTTATATAGATCAGAAATACTTAGAAGGTACTTTCCTTTGTTGGATTTTGACACTATTAATATAATTCCTGACAGGTGAAATCATGTTTAGAATCATTAAAAAGCTGAACAAGTGGTGTTACGACAGACATAAAAGTGACTTCACACTCATTGGCAAGGATTTATTGAATGCTCAGTGATCGCCCGATCATCCTTGATTGACTGGTAGCTGTTATATAGTTTATAATTACGTTACCACCTAATTCTTTAGTTTTGAATGATACTTTCATTCAACTAACGTTCTGTCCTTTTCTGGACTCTAATTGAGGATATACTCGTGCAGTCAGGTAGCCAAATGTTTAGTTCTTTTGTATTCATTCCACTGGGATTTAAAGAGAGTCATAATGAGTGAAACGTATCAAGTTATGAGCTAAAGTATTTGGTTTGATCACCTGCTTTTATGCACAGTCACCTAAATACTATCACAGTAATTCACATCCACGCTCAAGTTAAAATAAATTAAACAAGCAACCAATTTCCCAACAGAAATTGAAAGCGCCACTTATTCGAAAATTTAGTGATCTGTTGTGACCAAAAAGACAAAATAAAACAACAAGGTTCCTCATGCATAGGAACAACACACTACAGAATTATATGAATAGACATCTAGTGCGCAGGATAATTCACATCTATATCCACAGAATAAATACTATATGTCGTGGTAACAATGAATACTAATTTAGATGTAGAGCTGTCTACATATTGCCTTCAGTAACTAAACACCAGAGGCAGTTCATCAGGGTATGGGAAATAAATTCAATAGTAACGATGCACTACACGATTAATGAGATCAGATCTTCAATATCATCAAATAATCTATTCGAGAATAGTTTAGCGTGTTGATCAAGTTTTATTAAACGACAATACGCATATGCCGATATTTTATTGTCCCCCCCCCCAAAAGAAAACCCCCTAACATGGCAGAGGGTGGGAAGATCCCGGTTATATTACAGAAATGTTTTCATACGGTCAACAATCACAGTCTCTATCAGGAGAATCCTACTCACCGTCTTCCCGTGGGGAGGTGTTTCCGCAAACGTGAGGAAAAGGAGAACGTTCAGCGCTAAAATCAGACTGGAGTTCACAGAGAGTACAGCTAACAGAGTTAGAAAACCTTGATCCCGACCAAGCAGTGCACACAGGTACCACAATCCAGAACGGACGAATGGTGTATGAAGTCATACTGAAATTAGTGCTGATGATTTTGTCTAGAAAAACAATGACTTAACCACCCAGTTCAGAGAACACAACACAATCAAGATCATCCATCTGAGTCACAAATATTTTCCACCACTTATCATACAATCTTTTCAATCACCGAACAGAGTATAGTCATTAAATCACTAACCATAAAAGTGAGGCATAGCATTACTGCATAAATCAATTAAAATATTACTAATATTTATATATGAAATGAAACTATTCTGACTGAAAAATTTGTTAAATTTTACTTTTGTTGTGTTGTTTAAATGATCTAACTGTTAATATTACCAGTTGACTCAGTGGAAGACTACAGATTCAAACGATCACGTGCATTTATAATTGCTGATGCGCTGAAGTACCACATTAGTTTTAACTGATTTTCTAGTTTACAACACCAGTTTTGATTTAACTTAATCAACACTAATTAATTAAACAGCTAACATACCACATATGCACTAAAAATAATGCAACTCAATATATATTAGGCAATGAATCACGTTTATTTTGTGAGGACTTAATGGTACTACCCAGTTGCCAAGATGGAGTGATACAGTCACGTACACAACCTATTTTCATCATCTTATTTTTCGTTTCCTGACTGTCGATACTATTGATTTTATTCATATGATATTCCCCCTAGCTGATTTTCCCTTTGATGTACTGAAGAGAGCTGTGGCAACTTGGACCCCTAAGCGGTAACTTCAGGGTTATATTGATATTTTCGAAGTGTCATTATTATCCCGGTTTTGAAATAAGTATGAGTCTATTCAAACTGAGATAATATTGAGTCTGCCTTTTTGGTTACCACCACCATAATAGCCGTTTAATAGTAAGTTTATAACTCTTGATACCAGCTTTAAACACTACTATAACCCAGTTTAGAAAGTGTGGTAGTTAACTTAATTCGTTTGACTGAAATCGCATACGTTTTCTGAGCATCCTACTTCCTATAATGTCTCAAATCATGATGATAATAATAAACAAGCAGTAAATTTGACATCATGTGATATTGTATATTACTTGTGACCAGTTAGTAATTTATCCTAACCAATTAAATCAGAAAGAGAGTTAAGTCGACTGCAAATGATGTTAACAGGGATTTGGACAACTGACCCTTAAAGAAGTGGATTTTTTTTCTCATTCTGATTTAACATGCATGCATGACTATGAGTGGTTACCACGTACAGAGGACCTAGGATTTTGAACGTTCACAAGCACGACGGATGCTGCATGTTGAAAACGTGAGAGAGGACGGAAAAACAAACAGAAATATGGATTAGTTGCATAAGTCATAGATACATTACTGAGTTAAACATCACTCGAAGCATCATAATTCACAGTTAGCTGAATCTACAGAAATACAGAAGTTGACTGCATAAAAGGTACAGAAATAAGTGTAATAGAGATAGACAGGTGAATAATGATGATGACACAACTTGAAGAGGTGTACTCCTATAGAAACACTTTTAACAGGGCGATTACAAGCTTAAACGTTAATCCTATGAGGCCCCTGTAGGAATCATGGCAACACTTGCTTCCATTCTAGATATTTCTGGTTTGCATGAGTAGCCTGATAATATAACAGTGATTTCAACAGTTGCTCTTGTAGTGCACGGCTTATGAACTTAGCTTAAAAAGCAGTGTTGAGTAGTGTAAATCTTTCTGAAATGTTCATGCTATTTGCTAGTATACATCGTGCAGTTTTTCTGCTTGCATTCTTTAACATTACACTTAATGATCAGTAATATTTTAGTTTCCACAAGGAGCCACTGAGAAATCCGATTATTTGTTTGAAACAGCTAGTTGCAGCACCCTGGCCTTAGTTTATGCATCCTGTGAATATCCATAACTTTTTGAACAACACAAGACTAAAATACAAGTGTGGTATCTGAGTTGACATTTTTACAGATAAGCAGATGTATAAATAATAACAAATAATAATAATAATAATATTAATAGTAATCATAACAGTATAGACATTGAAATGACATACCATGTTCTTGTAAGTACCACATATTACCCCCACTCAACGAAGTCCATATTAAATTAGAGATGAATGTAAATAGAGTCAAAAATAGTAGTACACCAAATAGAACTAGAATCTATAGAAAGGGGGAAGACAGAAGTAAACAAATGAATTAAGAAGATAGAAATAGGAACACTTACTGAAAAAAGTATTCATTTTTTGATTGACATATAAGTCGATAGCTATACCATTATCATTAAAGATGCGAAGACTACGGGATGGGTACAACAACCAACTAAAGATGACCGAACTTCACCTAGTATAGAGTTATTTCTATACACTTATAATTTTATCAAACGGATTATGCATTTTTAGACATCGCATATTTATTACGCGTTTTCCCAAAATCATTAATTACTATGATATATAACCAGGAATCATGTTTTCTCTTTGTGAACTAATGTGACGAGTGTTAGCGTCAGGACAGGTGTAGTACAAATTAACTAGGATGACTAGAACACAATAAGCAAAACTATGAAAATCAGCAAAAAGGCGCATGTCAAGCATATCACACTAACAAGGAACGGATACCACGTAAAATTGAATCTTAAAATGTCCTTATACATCTGTCTAGGAAGTTAAGAGAGGCCTAGTTAGACCTTGGGCTACCAAAAACTTTGAACCGATTGTATTCTATCAAACTATTCCCTTTCAGTTTGTTTACCCTTTGAAATATGTTTTCTAAGCATATCATGTGCTCTCGCAACTTTTAAAAATATTTTCAAACTGAAGCTAAGATCGAAACAAAGAAGAAACGTTACGCTGGATGGAAATGGACATAAAACTGTGCAAAAATACATCACAGTACTATTCCTAGGATACCTATATCGAACCGCAGATTTTCGTACTGGCTGACTGAACTACCATCACCATGATTATACTCGATTTTGTATTCGTCCTCAAGTGCAGACCAGAGGCTAATGTAACACCAGCTACCCGTTTTACATTAGTGCCTTTAATACCGTTATTATTAACACTGTTCAGATGTAATAATTCGTCTAAAAATATTGTACAGGGAGCGTATTTGTTGAAATATTATCTGCTGAAAATACCGTAATCTATCACACATGGTGTTTGAAATGAAGCGATTATTAACCATTTTTTTGTTCACTATGTCATGGTAGGCTTACTGTACAAAAGTCAGCTATACTACTGAAATGTTTGGAATGAAGTAAACAGAGTAGGCGAAAATCCAGTTCACAAAGAACTAAAGATTGTTGTATATTCTTTTAATTGATATATCCAATCATTATGCCGTTTCACAGCTCTAAATAATTTAGCAATACATCGACACATCTTATTAACCGTATACGTTGCCATTTAAACATTCACAGATACTGTTCTTTACTTAATCACACAATTAAAGAGATATTTTCTCTAACTGCATTTCTATAGACAAAGCATACCGACCAATTGCTGCTAACTCCACGCAGAAGTCGGGTGTGCATATCCCAACCGGTTATGCTGGAGGTCTAACCACGCCCGAAAGGTCTCTTTCATAGTGGTAAGAAAAAAATAGTTAGTGTTAGGTGAAGACGATCAAGATGCAGAGTCTTCTGCACACTTTGAGTGTCAACTTGAGAATGTTTTAAATGTGTTTTTCGTCAACCAAATGTGAATTGTCCCTTCTCTAAAAATATGGTACGAAGCGATTGAGCACGTTGACCACGCCACTTATCTATGAAGCCAAATCAGTTCTAGTGGATGGGTCAGTGATCGACAAAATGTCTGCACGGATATAAAAGGATCGATTGGCTCTCGTCAACTTACACAGTCTGTGGCACCATCGTGATACTCGACTGTCTATTAAGAGTCGAGTGTACTCAGCTACAGTTAGCTCTGCTCTACTATATGACTATGTTTCACAGTCAAATAGAAAGAAGGGGGAGGGGGTGAAGAGCGAACTGCAGAGTGTGTCGTGACCTAACCACATCAATCACGTAGGAGTTAGGTGTAGAATTTTAGAGAGAAGAGGGATGTCAATTGATGCAGTTGTGGACCTTTATCGACTCAGATGGCTGGAACATGCATTACTTTTGCCTTGTCGCCCAATGCTAGGTCTAGGCTGTAAAAAGGAGCAGTCAGACTAAAGAATAGTATCAGAGCATGAAATCTCTGACTGTTGGTCTGAGCCATGTAAAAAGATGTGGACTAGCCGGTTGGGGTCCGGCATGACAGCAGTAGAGAATGGTTGGAGACTGTAGGTGATATGGCTTAAAATCGACCTCAGTGGTGCAGATATATCTATGCAATATCTTCACTTTAACCATCATACTGAATTCATTATTCTCTGATTCCGTTTTCTCCCTCTTGACTACCTTCCACCACTTGAGTGCTTTTTTCTTTCTTATTTCTTTATTTTTAATTGTCACTTGATGTGCTGATGAGGTGTGGAAACTTGAACGGCTATCCAGGCCACATGTTGATTTTATCTAGCTGTATGGACAATATATGGTCAACTTAAACGTTGTGAGATCGAATCTCACCTAGTGATAGTAGTCATAAAGGAAGCTTACGTAAGTATTGGTTTGACGTTCAACTGATGATCGTTTAAGCGGAGCTGCAGTTGAATTGAGCATAACTTTGGACTCTTTGCCCGTGTACACCACTAGACCTATAATACATTAAAGGAATAATATTAGTTCAATCTATATATTTAAATGTCAACAATGAAAAGCAGTAAAATGGGTAATAAAATATGTCATCCTGCTACGTTTAGTGTGTCGGCCTATAAGTCAAATACGTTTAGCAAAACAACGGTAGTCTATTGCTCAATAATGTGTAGATACCAACCATTGAAACGCAAGACGTTGAAACCTAAGAAAAAGTTAATGTCATGAAAATGTGAAACCTGTAAAATAAAAAGGAAGAGTACATTCAATAACAGAATGTTAAGAGTAACCACCCACACAAGAAGATAAAATAACAAAATAGGGTTGTTGAAGATGCATACATTCTATAACCAGCCGCTATCCACTGTGATTAGTCCACATAATTCACATTGGGTATAAAACCTTTTCCTTTTCTCCAGCTTTGTCTCATTTTCGTATTAAACTAAACTGTATGTGGGTGAGGGGAGTGATTTTCTATCAGAAGTCACCATTTGTATGCAGAAGCTTAAAGGCTTACATCTTCACTTCCGTAGTCATGATTAATGAAGACGTTACGATAAACAGGAAATCCAGTAAGTGGCGCAACGCCATCAGATATATCCTGTTCGACAATAAATAAATGTGTGTTGAAACATATTTTCAGATGTTTTCTATGCTTAGAAATCCACAAAAATTGTACGCAGTTTATCGATAAACTACGATACCTGTAATAACGGGATTCTACACTTCGTAATTTGCGAACCTATTATTTGTGATCACTTTTCCAAACTCCAGTCAGTCAATATAGTGAGAATAATAAAGTTAGTAGAACAATAACCTTTCAGTTACTAAAACTTACCGAAAATCCATTTTGTATTCTTCAACGATGCACCACGTAAAATCAACTGTGTTGGATTCAAAGGGTATGCTCTGAAACATTTCAAACGAATTTTCCCAAAAATACTATTTTTATTTGGAAATAAATTAGTTGGAATAATAACAACGAACAAAACAACTCTATAGCTACGTACAAGTCCATCAGTTGTAATTGTTTGGAGGAACTTTTGAAGGTTGAGGTCCATTCCAACTTGTAGTTCACTGCTTAAGACATTGCACTTTCAACCAATGGGTCACAACTGCGAACCCCATCTAAATTGATTAGATTTAGGTAGCCAGATAATATTAACAGCACTAATTCGCAAACAATTTATATGGTTTAAAGTCAGAATGTTTGAATTTGTAACAGTGCTTGTAAGCGGTTGGATTTCTAAACCAGTAGACCACAAATCAATCAAAAGTGGGATTTGAGTACGCGTAGATCCATGACGGGAGAAAAGTTCAGTTTCAATTTGACTAGTCAGTTTGTGAGATAAATCTAAATAAGTGACCAATATAGAGTTTCAACAAATTCCAAGTGACAGAGCTAGAAAATTGACTAGTCAGAGCAAGGACCTAAACATGGGACTGAAGCGCATAAAAGAAGCGTTAAGAATTAATAATTATTTTCTACAGTTTATTGGGAAATTCGTACGAACACATAAGAAACGAAACGATAACAGTAACACAAGTACGAATGATAACGACAACACGAGTTGAAATGAGCTCACAGCCTCCATTGTGTTACCCTATAAGTAAGGTAGACCAGAAACTTTACGTAGGATCCTCAACAAAGCTGAAAATTGAAACCCACAAACTCACTCAGAGATGAGCTTTGTCGGCTTACGGATCTCACAGAAACAACCAAACAAAATAATCCAGTCTATCAAATTACATGTAATGATTGCGAGGTCAAGTACATAGGTCAAACGAGCCGGTTGGGGTCAGTTAAATAAGTGGAACATAGAAATTGAGCCAAATACAGAATGACAGACCTCTATAAGATCAATAATGTAGAAGAAACTCAGCAATTGCAACCCATGCATGCAGAAAAAAATATTTAGTAAAACAAACAATATGAGCGAAGAAATATTTCTTTTCAATTAGTTCCTCATCAATGGCTCTACACTAATATAGCATTTTCAAACGAAAATTACATACCAATCTAGTGGTGAGAGTTGTTCAGTGAAAGGTTATCAATCTCAAAATTTCAAGAAGGTGATAATTGGTCAGGTGACATCATCAGCGAAATTGTGACACAACGCTTAAGAAATGCCATAAGAAGATCATTTAATGCCGCCAAGTTATGTTGTGTTTTCTACAGCCGGCCGATGATGACCACACGAACTAAAGACAGACTCCCTGACTTCTCCTCTTCTATGTGCATTTACCAGTTCAACTGCTCCTGTGGAGCTAGTTACATTGGACGTACAGTTAGGCAAGTCCGTCGTCGAATCGCCGAGCATCATCCTTCATGGCTAAGTAAGGGGGAAACCAGACTGACACGAAGCTCAATACTCTCTCATCTGATTGACACCGGCCACCGAGTTAACATTCATAATGCCTTTAAAGTTATTTATCACATTCCTTCTCACCTCACCCATCCTCTACGAGTCCGTCTTTTACATACAGCAGAAGCCATAGGAATCCACCTACACAAGCCAAGTCTGTGTGTTCAGAAGAGATTCGTACAGCCTCTTTCTTTGCCTTGGCCATCTGTATAGCTCATTTATTACAACAAGACTCTTCATTTCATCCACCACACAATTCACTATAACTAGTATTTCAATAGCTCCATTATTATTATTATTATTATTATTATTATTATTATTATTATTATTATTATTATTATTATTATTATTACAGACTTAATCATCTTTCTCTCCCCCTACTGTCTCTAATTACCGTCAACAATTTACCATTTTACGTAACAGTTAATTTTTGCTCTTTAGTTATCATTATATAAAATATCAATTATGTAAGAACCTGTTCGCAAAATCTTTCTACGATAATTAATCTTTGCTTTAGTTAACTGTCTTAATTACCTGACCAATTATCACCTTCTTGAAATTTTGAGATTGATAACCTTTCACTGAACAACTCTCACCACTAGATTGGTATGTAATTTTACGTTTGAAAATGCTATATTAGTGTAGAGCCATTGATGAGGAACTAATTGAAAAGAAATATTTCTTCGCTCATATTGTTTGTTTTACTAAATGTCTAAATGGGAATTTTTGCATTACAGAAAAAAATATGAGGTGACAGGACTATAAAAATCAGTTTCCCACCTTCACTCTTGAAAACATTGAGTGGCACACTGTCAGGTTCTGCAGCTCTGCATCATTTAAGTTCGATACAGCTTTCTCAACTTCAAGCAGAGATGGAGGACTGACATCTACGTCTCATTGAGGTTCAGGTTGGATGCTGGGCAACTAAAGCGTTGCTGAGAGCCAGTTGATTCTAGCCGCTTGCTCTGGGAGGTTATCAGTGTCCCATTCTTTTCGGTGATGGTTTCACTAACCATCGTTTTCTTCTTCCCGGTATCCTAAATAGGTCTAAACAGTTGCCAAGTGTTACACAACGCTAATGTCTTCTCCAGCTCTCTCGCTTTCGTCACCCACCACAGCTTGTGATCGACGTGAAGACTCTTATTCAACTTACTTATGTTTGAGTTGTTTTCGCTCTTCGTCATTGTCACAGACAGCTGAGATCAGTCTTCTCGTATCGGTCAGATCGGACGACGCCAATGACTTTTGCAAACCTCCGTGTTTAGGTTATCAATTGTCTTTACCTCTGTTTTTACAGCAGACTTAATATTACGCCAAGATTGCTTAGGATGAGGATTACTGTCATATTCAGATAAATGGTAAGCTAATTCGTCTCTATATTTGGACTTGGCAGTCATCTTCTAATCGATAATAGACAAGCTTTACCATCGGCTGTGGCACATTAGATTAGGGAGATAGTTATCAACCAATGGGTCACAGGTTCAAACCCTGCCCCACCTACCGAGTTTTGGGCAGCCAGGTGGTATCACTAACACCAACACAGTGGGTGTGGCTCATTCCCTAGTGAACGTACATGAACAAAGTGGCTGAGCACTATCACCTGTTTCCTGCGACCAGTAAGACTCAGACATACACGAGCTATTACGAACGCGTGATTGAAGTTCAGACAGGTAGTCTAGAATCAGCGGCTTCTGAGACAGTCCCTTTCCTCATACTAAAAGTTATTGCCCATTAAAAACAAGTGACTGTTCCGACAAAATTGCAACAGACGATGACCGCTGTCGGTTGGTTGGCATAGGATTTATATAACATATCTTTCCGATTGACTCAGCGCCCTTATTTGAGCGTCACCTGCTTATATGACTCTATTTAAACGTTTTTCTTTCTGTAGCAAGGCTGGCAGCTTTTCATAGAATTCATCCTTTGAATAATCCGAACTGCAGTCGGTGGGTGCGTAGGTAGGGATTACGAATAGTTATCGCCTAGTCTCACGACCCTTCGCAGTTCTTACAGATCCATCCGGTCGAACAGCATACACATGGCTGTCGACTGGTATCTAATCAAGGAGTGTGTTTCCGCTTTACAACTAAATGATACGCTAACACCAGCGAGTTCATCGATTCTTCGGATACCCATATTTTCGAATTTTGAAGATTCACTACAGTGGCTAGGTGAGATCAATTTAATAAGCACACTACTCCTTTCCATGGGGAAGGCACCATTAGTTTGTCAAAGCTGTTCATCCATGAAAAACAACTTACTACTGTCACACCTCATCCAGCCAGCAGTAGGACTTCTCCCTCGGACGCCCATCATAGTGTAGCAATTCACACTACAATGGTAACTATTTTCGTCTTATAACTGTATAACAGACATTTTGGGCATAATAAGACCTTGAGAAAACAAGTTTTCCAGTCAGTGTTGCTCGTTAGATCACTTGGATATGGAAGCCCGACCACCACGTTAGCGTAGCAGCTATCGGTAGGGACATATCATAATACATTCAAATACAATACTGCGAGATTTTAGAGTCAATGTTTTAGACCAGTTGACATCAAAGATGATTGAAATATTCTTACTGAAACAACTCAATAACGTGCTCGGTAGTGGAAATGTACCCCATTTGTACACACAAACTGTTTCACAAGCTATCAACAAACGACTTAAATGATTTCCAACATTACTTACCAATAATTATAAACTTATCATGATTTCTAAGCATGCAATTATCAAATCTCCACATCTAATCAGTAATGTTTATGATCACGTTTATCGGCATAACAATCATGTGTGGATGTGGAATTTTGTTAGGTCAGTAACCAATAAAATCCGTCTATAAATTTGACGGCTTACATAAAAAAGAACTGAAACAATATCACATCGGTTGAAACTAACGATATTAAAAACCCATAAAAAGAGAGAAACACGGAGCTGAATCAAAACAGCAAGGATAAATATGAAATCAATCACTACAAAAGAGTGAATTTCAGGAGCCAGAACAATATCATGGAAGGAATATATCTGTATCATTTCTACTGTCCTCAAAATCATTCCATCTAGGACTTCCACCCATTGATTTTCAACATACCGAAGACCACAGATGAAAATGATGAGATTTCACGTTAGATGACTGAAATCATTCCGAAAGATATTCCGCATTTAGTTTGAGTGATTACTGACGTACAAGACTTGACAGCGAAACTCATGATCAGTGCTATCGTGACAACTAGTATTGTTCAGTCAATAGCGCCTTGTTGGACTATATACGCAGGTAGAAGTGTTCGCCAGATGGAAACTAGCTTTGAGCTTTCTGATAATGTGATGATGGATGAGTACTAACCACCAAGTTGCACGTGTTGTGTCACTGATAGTGGCTCGGTTAAAAGGAACGATAAAGTCGCACTAAAAATTCTGTTGTAAATATGCTTTGTGCTGCACGCGATACGTTTTAAATCCCAAAAAACGTAGCCAGATGATAGAGGTTGTGAATATAATTGGTTTAAAAACATGTGATAGATAATTTAGTAGTCTACTTGAACCTACATTCCATCTGGAGTGCGAACAAGACCAACAAATTCATCCAACTTTCGATTGGGTAATTCACATTCGACGACTGCTTCAAATGCACCTAATTCACCAGCAGTTAAGAGATTACCTGTAACTGGTAAACCCTAAAAAAAGAGAATAATGTAAAGGTATGTGAATAGCGGCAAAAGTTATGTAGTGTAAGTTTATGTAATGGCCAACACTTTTTGCGTGAGTCCTAGTATTACCTGGCTGCCTAAACCTCATTAAGTGAGGTGGGACTCGAACCTGCGACACATTTTTGAAAGCTGAGTGTCTAAACCAATGAGCCACAAATATGAAAATACCACCAAGTTGCAAGCAAACCATCTGCACATTTACAGACACTCGAAATCACAAATGATGTTGACGTGGGTCAGGAATTCCATGTCATAAGTTTAGCGACAAATAAGCGTTTGTACGAACAAAGTTATATTTTGATTAAAACTGAACAGCATGGATATTCGAACCCCGTTAAGAAACATAAGCGGAAAGCGTACATCCACTCATTACAACGAGCGAAAAGAAAATGTCAACCTCAAAGGATATCTCTAGCTTGAATTTAGTGGTGAGACAGCAGCTGCAGAACAAAGCTGGTGACATAATCCACGTAAAAATAACTAATTGATAAGGATAAAGAACTGATATGACTGAAGTTTGGGTGGTATGACGTCGAATTCCTCCAATCAGGTAATCGTGTCAGTGCATGCATGATTTGAACATGATCTGAAAACAATTTCTCTATTGGCTGCCTTTTTGTCGCTACGTATCACCTCCCCTGTAAAGAGTGTATGACTTCTTTTTAGGGTCCACTTGGAAGGGCTTTGGTCTTCTGCAGGCGATAACTGACTCGGGGTTGAAGATTCGCTTTCGTAGGATGAGACAGGAAAACATTCAAAAATTTTCTTCTTCACCCCTTCCCCCCTTGTCTTTAATACATCGTCTGCAACAGAGAGGGATGCATGCTTTTGAAGTGAGTGTTCTGATTGAGACTTATTTGGCATATGAGACAAGACCTCATTATGAGAGGGTGACGTTGTATCAGAACATATCGAATTCAATGGAACATTCAAGATATCAAGTTTATGAATCCAATCCAACCCAAGTACGTTTAAACCATGACGACTTGTTAGGTTACACATTGAATTTATGACCACCAAATTGAATATGGCAACTAATCTCACCAATCAGTCTTAGCACATCTCCAGAAACATTTTTAGCAATATGGTCAGTTGGATGGGACTGTGGGCACCCAAGTGTGCGCCATGTACTTCAAAAAATGCAAAGTCATATCCAGCTGCAGACGAATAGGTTTATCATTAACCGATAGATTGACATATCTTCTTTTGTTCCCAAATCAGATTTGAAAGTCGTGAAAATGCCTTGAATCTGACTGAATGAGTCGCGTTTGACAAACGGACATTCAGTCTTCATGGGAGCATTTTTAATTGAGGGACAGTAACCCTCTTTGTGCCCAAAACAATGACAACATCAGCACTTGTGCTTTTTCAATGGACAGGATTTAACAAAACGCCATAAACCACAATATCAGCAAACTGAAGGAAGTTTGCTTGACTGTTTTGATTTATGTTACGTGTCCCTGGTTGTAGAGTGAGGGTTTTTTACTGCGTTGACTGAACCCAAATCAAACGGCTGGGACCTTTGCTGTACCATAGCTGCATCGTGCTTCAAATTGATTAAGTGTTGGCATTCTGCTGTCACCCTCTGTAGTGTCATTTTTGGATCTTGTTCGACACATGACAAAAGTCTGGTTCGGATATCAGCATCTTCAGCGTTCTTCAGACTACAAATAAAAATCATTTAAATTAGTAGGGAGTCATTTCGTTGACTCTGGATCGTTCAAATTTGCGATCTACCTTGCCAGCATACGTCACATAATCATCAGAAGGTAACTCGGATAACTGAAAGCATTGATATCAAATATTAACTAGAGAGGATTTTTCACCAAAAATTTGAGATAGGATACAAATCGTCTAAACAAATGATGATTCACGAGAATTCTTTGGCAGAATGAAATTAATATATTTATGGTGCTCGACAGTCCCAAGTTTTCGTGATAATAAACGAACTTTAGCTGCATAATCAAGCATAGAACATTCAATGCGAGAAACATCTTCATATCGACTAAACCATAAATCAAATATGAGACCAGATACTGGATCATAATTCAAGTCACTCATAGAATTAGAAATGCTTTCATATTTATCGGCATGAGATGCTGACGGCGACTGAATAGATAATTTCTGAGTAAGAGTTTCAATAAGCTTCAGTTAAGCTGTTTCATTCTGAGCTTGTTGGAGTTGCAAAATGGACTTGAGGTCTTCCAGGGAAAGATATTGCAAAATAAATTAAACACCTGACACCAAATGATATGACTGAAGTTGGGGTGGCATAACGTTGAATTCGTCCAATCAGGTAATCATGTCAGTACATGCATAAATCATGGTCTGATCATGATTTGAACATAATCTGAAAACAATTTCTTTACTGGCTGCCTTTTTGTCGCTACGTATCAAGAACTATTCTGAATCAACAGTAAACTTAGATAAAAATACTTTTGCTACAATTAGTCAACACTTTGTTGCACAAACTCGCAGTCTAACTAGCAAGTCACTACAAACAAATTTATTCGAACTGGTGGTTTATGGGGATTAGTTAATTTTAAGGCAGTTTTTAAGGATTGATATCGTTTGGAGAACCTGATGTCAGTCTTTGAAAACTGCTTTGAAATTAAATTCATTCGAATGTCAGTAGCATTGTTGAGTTTCATTACAAGCTAGACGTTAGTATAGTTCTCAAGTTATGATACAAACAACAGGATGTTTCTTAGAAGTGAAGTGAGATATATGTGATGCATACAAATTCTAAGTTTCACTGAGAAAACCTTGGTGTATCCGAAAATACCAGCTACATGAATGCTGAAGATATCATTTTTTATGAAATTGTTTCGGAAACGACGAACCTTTTCAGTTTATTTTGGTTTTTTTAATATTCTATCTCATTACATAATAAATGTAAAGACAATGATTTTATCGAGTCGCAAACGAAAGCGAAATCAGTTATTATCTAACACCAAAGATTATTCCAAACGTCTAATTTTAAAGTACCAACTCTAGTTCTAGTCAGAGTGAGACAACAATCTGACTACCCAACAAAGACATTTTGCCGACTCGAAACAAAAACGTATCATCCATTTCCTCAACTCTTGAACTAGGCAAGACAGGTAGGTCTATTGATGGGGTTGTGAACCTTAGTCGACTGAAATAGCTTGGACATGTACTATGCATGCCTAGCCACCACCTATCCCGACGTGCAATGCTATGGAATGTTGGATCAGGTTAGAAGAGGGTTCGGCGTGACCAGATCAAGACGTGGCACCAGTTGATGAAGTCTAACTGTTGGTCTGAGTCGTGTGGAGATATGTAGACTCGCCGTCCGGGGTCCTCGTGATGATAGGATTTAGTGGTTGAGAATCCTTAGTGATATGGCTGAAAATTGGTCACAGTGGCGCAGATGCATTCACTGCCTGATATCTTCTAAAGCTTGAATATTTGTACTGGTCTCTATCTTCAAATAGTTATTCTCTCACAACCTCATCTACTTTGATATCAGTCTTTTTCTATCGACCCATACTAGTGTGGCAACCTGAACTGATGAACCTATGTGGGAGGTTCTGCAGTGATTTTGTTAGCGCCAATCAATCACTCATGAACTTCAAGCATGACAAAAATGAAATATTCACCATACTTTGAGAAAGAATTCATGAACACCAACTAGTAGTAAAGTGATATGAAGCAGGCTTTTTGATTTCGGTGCTTATGATGATCAGAACTTAAACTGGGAGACTGTGGAATTCCTCGAAATAGTAGGTTCAAAAGTTGTAAGAATTTCTAGAAGCATGGCATTCCAACGAAGTCAAACAACAGACATGTGGACACAAACCAAATCTATAATATACTTAGAAAACAGCCATCAATGATGTTGATAATGAAGCATAGAGTGACAGTAACAAATAGCAAAATTTTAGCCTACCAAAGATTCTCCATCAGCGTGACAGAATGAGACGTAAGGTCAAAGAAGTCACGGTGTGATAAAAATCTCTTCCTTAACTTACAACTGGAGAGAACTCAAGGTCAACAAAACACTAACTAGACATTCCCGTAACCTTTTGTTATGCACCAATTCTGTATAAAGTTAGTGCTGAAGGTGTTGACAAGCCTAATGATGGAGGGTTCACGACAAAATATTAAAGCTTAGAGAAAACTCAACTACCATCGTCTTCATCTTGAGCAACAAATCATTTTCATAATTTTAGCTCAATCTGTACTGTCTCACCCATGAGACCGTATATACCACTGATTAGTGCGTCTTTTCACAGAGTTAGGTAGAGTCTGTAGACAAACAAAGATTTGAGTCCTGTGAACGGTATTAACTTGAGTGCAACTAATTTGGATAGTCAACGCTTATTTTGGTAGATCACATCGCTTGCAGTTATCAGTCAATCATTATTTAGTCAGCAGCTCCATCACAAAACATTATCCCATAGCAAGTGAGAACAGGTATTTCTGTGGAAACGGACTCAAATGAAAATAACTGAAACAGGCACATTTTGAAGGATACAGGTGAAGCAAATTGTCCAACGTTAGGACAAATAAACAACAGTTTAACATAAACTCACTTGGCGCAGTTTTAAGTTCGTCTCCCCGTCTAGATTACTGGTCTCAATATAGCACATAGCCTGTGGTTCGCTAGATGCAAAAAGTACGAGATCAGCTGGGATCCCCTGATTGTTGCAAACCTTAACGAGATCTCCAACTTCTAGATCCTTCCAACGAGTATCGACCCACAAGTGATCACGCAAAACTGAGAAATTAAATATAGTAAGTGCAAGTATATTAAAATATCCCATGGAAATTTTGACTAGCCTAGTCATAATAAATAAATTTAAACACATTTTCCGACTAGTTGGTATCTATTCGTTATTACTGAAAATTTTCTTGATTTTACCGTAAATCAAACTGTAAGCTATGCATTATTGTATGACAAAGGAACTAGAAAGGAGTTTAAATTCTTGTACTTCCTTAAACATGCATAGATGAACATAGCTGAGTGGAGAAATATAGACCGGAACGAAATATGTACAATATGTCTGAACGTCAAAAAAGAAGTGAGACAGTTAACATGACGAAAGGATAATTAGCAACTACGTGCTTCTTATGCAAACCACAAGCGAACTTATTTTGGAACCGCGATTGATGGATTATAATGCACTCCACAAGTCACTAACTTACCTAAATCAGTGGTTTGAAGCCATGTGATGCAGCTCGGAATCGACCCCAGTGGTGCAGACGTATTTAAACACTATTTTTGTCCCAACTGTCATATCAAATTATTTATTGTCGCATTCCTTTTTGCTCCCTCATCACTTTACCACTTTTCACAACCTTCTTCCTTATTTCTCAGGTTCTCATTTTGGTACGGTTTTTGATGTACTGATGTGTTGCAACTTGAAGTACTACGTGAAAATGTTAGGTTACAACATGCTGACTTACTAAGATCACTAATTTACAATGGTGTTAATTCACTAGACAAGTAAATCTAGAAGAACTTAACTGATGATGAACCATTTGGCGAGAGGATATTACATCATTTAATCAACATGATTTATGTTTCCCTCACCTATTATGAGAAATATGGGTTGACGATTATCCGGAAAGTTACATAATCACAATAAGGTTGTAAAACTGAACTCGTGGTGTCAATGTACTGGTGAATCATCTTGACGAAATTTTAAAAGTAAAAGTCGCCAGACGGTTGCAGCCTAATCCAATACGTGTCTGTGTACTAGTTTAGGAATTTCTATTGTGTGAAGGCTTATGGTGTCATATGATCGTTTAGACCGTAGTAAGTAGATTGGGATGTGAACTCACGATATTGTTTGAAGGTCGTGTTGTAGCCAATGATCCACATCTCTACTTACAAAAGATGAGGTTTCAAAACCTAGCTTGCTTAACTTTTAGTGGGAAATATATTGAACACAAAGGATATGAGCATCCATACTTATTGTTTTACCATTAAATCCCATTCAGAAAATCTACCGTGATCTTGCTTTCACGCCATATAAGACCTTCAGTTCAACGATTCGAAACGAAAGCACGCCAATAACTGGTTTAGCACTAGTTACGGATCAGGAGAAAATCATATTAATTACTTTCATCTATATCCCTACTAATATCCGATATGAAACTAGTGGCTCGCACAATAATAACTTAGACAAAATTTAGTCAGTGAAGAACTAACAAAGAGCCCACAAACATCACTTCAGTGTTAGCTATCAACACAAACGACTGTAAAGCATAAAGTTTCCTATTACAAAAACACTCGCGCTGAAGTACATAACTCATCACAACAAATTTTGTTGTTAAAAGTCTTCCTTGCTTCGCATTACTTCCCATGTCTTCCGACAACATATTTTGACGATTTCTACTTTTCATCTGAATGCATTGTATTGTGAAACGTTGATATGCGATATGGTAGCTTGGACCAATAAGTAGAAGTCCAAGATCCAACGCTGATAGTGACTGAATTGAGGCATATCACAATGACACACCTCATACATATAGATGTAGTGTTGTGAACAGAATTACATTTTGGATTTTTTGATACAGAAAGATATTATCCTAACCTGGTGGCAACCCCCAACCACCCAAGTCTCATTTTCGATTCTTCCAAAAAGCATAAAAGATTCATAAGAAAATCATACAAGCATAAGGTAGAATACTTGCTAACAATTACAAAAATAACCATGGAATTTATTTAAACATAAAGGATTCATGTTATGCCTATAGGTAATGACCAGAGCTATGAAAACGAATGACAAGATTCCCCAAAAGTACTAAGCGCATTGCGGGTGGAGTATAAAATTCAATAACTACATCGAAAAACGCAACCACTTGGGTGCAGCAGTATTTGCAGACTCCATAATGCAAAATTGAGCCTACCACTGCGGAGTCTTACCAGATCCAAGTAACATTATTACTGATGAGGGCACTCACCAAGGGTTTTTTCATTATTTGTAGCGTCGTCAGCTCGATGTCTCCTCTACAATTGACAGTTAGGTCAAATGAAACATGGACATACAAAATCCTCGATCATTTCCTTGATGGCTGAAACAGTAAGTATGATGCATAATGGAACAGCAGTTGTAAACCTTCCAGTAGGCGAAACACCAGGAATTTGCTGAAAAATTACATAATTACAAGAGCAACTTACTTGGAGTAGGGCTATTAATAAGAAAAATATGTTAGCGTATCTACGAAACTGCTCCAAAAAAAATTTCGGTAGAAAAGTGAAACAATTATATTTTGCAGTGCTGTGTGACGACGATTAGGCGCAGCCTAAATAAATTACCTTATGTCATTTTTGCAATAGCTGGTGGACTGAGGACTATTCACTCTTACAATACGACAACTCCCATCTTCTGTTGGGTGAGAATCGGAATTTCTTCCCTTCATCTCAGTATAATCCGGTTGACCTGAGTGTTAAGAAGGATGTCTTATACCTACCTTCAACTACATCTAGCGATAACATTTCCTAAATAGGCCAGTACCCTATCTTTGATAGTTCACTAACACTTGGGAGCTTATCCTTGAAAATGCAAACTGTGCTCTTCAATACGTTCAATATTCAGATAGTTCAATGGTTGTCGACGCGACAGAAGAAGCTTTCGCTCAACTAACTTCTGCATCTAAAATCCATGGATCACTACTCATTGAGGTTTCTTATCTTTGTACAGTAAAGAAAGAGGAAAAAGTGGCGGCTAAAATGTGAAAACTCAATTAGTTCTGGGTAGATCCCAGACACGTCAAGTGGGTATCCAGTCTGCATTTAAAAGATTCAGACGAAGAGCGTTCCAGGGTTTAACAACTCCTAGGGAATAGAAGCCGTGCCTGACATTAAACCTGCTTAGTTTCTGTGTGTATCCACTAAGATTAGTGATACAGCTAGGATTTAATAAGTGACGGAGTGGGTGGCCAGGCGTGCTCAGAATGTTGTAAGTCATTATCAATTCTCCTTCTAGCCTTCTCTATTCCAGAGGATACAGATCCAGCGCGACCAGTCGTTCTTCGTATGCTTTCGACCTAAGTCCTCGAACACATTTTGTCGAACGACTTTGGATGAGTTCTAAGCTTAGTTTATTCTTCTGGAGGGAAAGAGGAAGACAATAATCCCGAACTCTAGGTGGGGTCGCATGAAGCTGTTGAAAATTTGGTGGAAGTATCTACGATCGAACTGTCCGAAAATTCGTCTGTGTTACTAAGGCCAGGTTTCCACGACGTGCATTTCTGTCACAGTTGACATGGGATTTTAATTCTTGAGGGACTAAGACGCCCAAATCCTTCTCCGTCTGTGACGCTTCGAGTTCCATGCCATCGAGGCCACATATACGAGATCCATCGTGTTTTACATGTATCACCTCGTATATCCCAGGATTAAATGCCAGCCCGTTTTTGACTGCCCAGTTATGAAGTTAAGTCTCCCTGTAGAGAAACACTGTCTCATTCACTTTTGATTTCTCTCCGGAGTTTTACGTTAACGATAAAGAGAAGGATTTCGGAAGAAAGCTGTTGAGGCAAATTGTTTATAAATATTAGGGGCCGTAGTACTGAACCTTGGGGAACATCATTGGGACATTCTGTTTCTCCAGACATAGAGAAGCTCACTGAAACTATTAATGAACGGCCTTGTAGATATGAACACGACCAGTTAATACGCGGAGGTCAAATCCAGATTGATTGTAATTTAATAGTAATGCAGTTGTGATTCACACGATCAAACCCTTTAACAAAGTCTAGGTAGATAGCGTCAATTCGGCCTCGACGGTCAGCAATGCTAGTCCACTTGTCGGTGTATTTCAGAAGGTTAGAAATGGTTGCTGAAGCCATCTGAAATGTACTCACGTTTTCCACTTCAATATCCAACACCAACAGGGCAAGTAGCGGAAACTTGTAGTTTTGAGCTCTCGCTTCCGGGTATTGAGGCTCGGTTCTCTTTGTTCTCCTCTACTCCGGTGGGCACATAAGTTTGTACACTCGGTTACTATGAAGCACTGCTAAATAACCTGCCGGTGGAGGTCAGTATTTTTGTCCATGTTGTAGGACCAAGAGTAAGCACTAAATAGGCCGAGAGCCAGTCAAACTGAACCCTGATATTCTTACAGCTGAGATCCCTACGCAAAATAGCTTCATTCAGAAGTTGTATGATTCCAAAAAGACCCCTGAAGTTAGCAGCAAAGAAAGCTGTAACATTATAAGCGGCTCTCCCGTAACAACTAATATCAATATTCCGCGGGTCAATGGAGGTAGGAACGAAATCACCACGGTCATTGACTGCCCCCTGTCAGCATGCCACTTAAGGAGATATCAGTAACGAATATGAAGTCCACATGTGATAAGTGTCGGAAGAAAAGTTTGAATAAATGCAGGCAAATTACGGCAGTTAAGAGTGAAACTGTAGGAAAAGATGGCAGGCTTGGCAGGGTAACTACCCCTACGCAGCCCAGCGAGAAACTGAATACCAAGCTGACCACTTCTTGTCCCACTTAGGAGGGCAGCGATCTGAAAAAGCAGATTTTACTCCCACTACCTATAAGGCATGTTTGAAGTCCTCTGCATTTTATCATCAGCCTCGGTCGATCCCTAAAGTAACTCCCGCATTCGCAACTCAGGTCCTGAGAGACACTTCCAAAGGACTGATCGAGAATTTGGGTCTGCGCCCATTGGAAATCCCAAAAGTTGGACCATAGTCCTAGCCTTAGGCCGCTCGTACTCTTTAAAATTAAGGAAAGCGGCCCTCCCTTGTTGACTAACCGCGATGAGCACCATTTTGGTCAATGAAGAGTACCTGTAAACTCTTAAAAGGCTCACCCTGTGGCCCACCTCTGCAACACTTAGCGCGTAATAAGTTCTTTCCTAAAAACTCTTCTAGACGTTTGAAAGTGTCTTTATATTGCTGGTCAGTCCGAACAGATCCCCATGAAACGTGGTCAGTTGGCGAAGCAAAAATTGTCGGACGTTAGGATTAGGCCTGAAAAACCTTCGTCGGTCTTGAAACTTCTTAGCAAAAATGGGAAAATTCATCCCGAGGAACTACGCTATTCAGTCATCATACAGGGGATTCTCAAATGCTTGGGAACTGATACTGCTGGACTTTTAGAGTCATAGATCATTATGTCTATTTAGGTAGCTAACTCCAAGGCAATGTGAAGGCCGGAAAAGTTTACTATCCTCCAGGGCCGGCCGACCTCTCGGCCATTTGTGTTCCCGAGCTGCTCAAAGTTTTCTTTGATTTCGCAGACATGGTCAGAACCACTCCGAAGTCCTGGTATTGTAAATCTGGCTCACTTCTCTAACATAGGCGAGTGCGAACCCAGGGGACAAAGGCAGACTGAGAGGCGATTTAAGGGCTTGCTGCTGACCAATTCGTATTTAACAATCGAGCAGTCGGGTGATGTGCAGACGTCTTTATATACCTTGCCCTGGACTAAAGAATTCTATACTAGTTCTCAATCATGCAGAACGGTGGATGTATAAGCCCTCGATTATGCTTTCTCGCAGGCGAAAATCTCGTCGAGGGCGTCCCTTCGGAGATTGGCAACACATTCTCAACTCAGCCCACTTCTGGAGACTTCAATATTCGCACCCTCATTCGCCGTACCTACAGCGTTGTGTGTCTTGCGCTTCAAGGTACAAGAGTTAAGGTTGTTAGTTGATGAGGACAGCTCCAACCCAATGGATTTCTGTGAAGCATGGCTCACAGGGAATGTAAAAGACGAGGAAATTCGTTTAGGACACCACAACCTAGATCAGAGGGTTAAGGAGGCGGCGCCGCTCTTTACACTTGTCCTTCCTTCAATGAACATGGGATCCGCCCCCACAGAATTAGCAATAAAGATGTTCCCCAGCACAGCATTCAGTATTGTGAAGGCCCGTGTTTGGCTAGAGTCTTTTACTGCCCTCCCACAGCCACTGCACGTTAAATAAAATGTCGGTGCAATCCACTACTGGGGCTCTGGAAATGAGCTTTCCATAGTTCCACATTACGAGAGGTTGACTCACTTCAACTCAATACCACTGAAAGTTCATCTACTGTTTCAGCTATGCCTATGCATCACGACCCCAAGGCTCCTTTGAGTATTGCTGTTGATGCATCTGCCTCAGCACTCAGGGCAGTTTTACAGCAGCTGACCGACAACCAGTGGCCACCCTTGCCCTTTTTCTCGAGGCCGCCGCGGGAGGCGGAAACAATATACAGTATGTTTGGTAGGGAGCTCCCAGCTATGTGCTGTTCTGTACTCCATTTACGACATTTGGTTGAAGGTTGCGACTTCAATGTTTTCACAGACCCCAAACCGTTAACTTTCTCTCTTAGCTCAGCATCTGATAAATACTCCCGCGAGGGTCTTAATAACTAGGTTACATTCCCCAGCTTATATCAGATGTCTGCCACATATCTGCAGCAAATAACTCCATAGCCGACGCGCTAACTCGAATACCTTCGATAAACCGTGTCGAAGGTGTCGATCTCGTTGAACTAGCTCAGTGCCAAATAGAAGACCTTGAGTTGCATCATGAGCTATCGTCCACAACTCCCAGGTTACAACTGTGTCCAGTAGGATTGGTCAGGGATACAATTTTGTGCGATGTCCCTGCTAATCAGCCACGCCCAACATTTCCGAAGAGATGTCGACGCGACGCCCTCAATACGTCGCAAAAACTATCGGGGGCAGTAAAACAACAAGTTGTCAACCGCCCAGGATCACACGATCGTAAAGTGAGGCATTTGTGGTGAGTCTTAATCAGATAAAGACAATAATTAGTGTAAAGTCAAAGATGGCAGTTAAATTATCAAATAACGTTACATCGGTTAGGGTCCATGGTACAATACCCATGATGAGTGGCTGAAACTTGTAGGTCCTTTCAGCCAGGGGTGACACCTGTGCATATGTGACCTTGGTTTAAGCAAACCTCATCCTAATTCTGTGGGTGGATTTCGGAAGCTCGTACTGTGTGATATTTTGAGCTGTGCTAGGTTCCTGAACATATTTACCACCTCCGCTTTTTCTTGAAACTATAGTACTAACCCGGTATATCCCTATCAGAGTCATGGCGCACCCACTCTAGACAAACACCGGATGCGGTGGTTTCTTTATGCATCGCAATCACCACAGTCATCATACCTTTGCTCTTTGTCGACGACTGCATGCCTGTTTTGCGCGGATTGGGGTCAACTATCGCATGTGCCAGTACACTCTCCTGCCGATATCCGCACCCATTTTGTTTTTTTGCCAACGGGATGTTTGGGGGCATATTACTGTCACTATGACCTCATTAGTACGCTGGCTACCGCAAATTCCGCGGCTAGCACGACAGTGATACAGGGATCTTGCAGACTTTGCCGCGCTTAAATTCTCTGCACAGACTAGTTTCTGTCCGTCTGCCAGCCTCGTTACACCAGTCATGCTTGTGACCCAGTCCTCTGCATCATCACAGTTAAGCTATACAAAAAATATAAAAATCACATAAAAGACG